AATCTGTTCAGCTCCTGAGCTGTCCTATATTATGCTCACTGTGACCAATACAGTTTTACTGATGAGTCTAATGAGGGCCCTCAGGGTTGTGGTAAATGAAAATGAAATAAAAATAACAAAAATAATCACACTTCATGTAGCATGTCCCTGATTTTTTAATGTACATAAATATCAGAAAAGTAATGCTGAAAAGAAGGAAAAAATATTTGATTTTTTTTTCCCTGGCAGTCCCTTCAGAAGCCCTATTTATGAGCAGTCATAAACTGACATGCACAATCAGATATATTTTCCTGAAGCCTGTAGAGTTTAGTCTAAGCAAAAGCTTCAGAATATGTGTGTGTAGATAAATTAAAGACTGTCTGGATTATAATGAGAAGGGTGTATTGTGGTATAAATATTTCAGAGCACATTACATAAACATGGTCACATATGACCAGGTATCTATTAAATGAGCACATCACAGGAGAAGTTAATTATCTGAGAGCGTAACTAGGAACCGTTTAGAATCACTGGAGATTAAGTTGCTTTATTTCTGTTTATCTTTCCTTCTGAATAGGCAGTAGGTTGTTGCAATGAAGAGTCCCTAAGCAACACAGAGCTTCAGCTCTTCATCAGCTCTAAGATGACAGTTTTGTCAACACCAGTTAGAAGTCAGGATAAGCCAAAAATTTTATTCAAAGTAATTTTGTGCAAAATGAGTTGGCACAAACCAGTATTTTAAGATGTAAAAGTGCAAAATATTTACAGATACCTTACAGTGTTCAGGGGAAAGAGGAAAACTTTAATGCTAAGTATTTATTTGTCTCACATACTGCAGCCTAAAAAAGTATATAAAGACTTTTTCAAAACAGATTTGTAGTGTCAGAGACTAGCATCCTGAGAGTAACATACAACTTCACCACAGTAATTAGATTTTTCTAGACTTCACAAGTTATTGTGTCTCAGTCCACATGCAAAAATCATCAGTGTTGATGGAATTTGATTTTGCTTGGGTTATGAAACTCACAAAGAGAGATGTCCACTGTTCATCCTATACAAAATAACCAACATTGCAAACATGGAAAAATTAAGGATATGTTTGGGCAAACTGCAAACTACTACTGTTCTTTGTAGCACAAAGAACAACTGATGAAGGAGGATTTAATCACATACAATTATTGAAAGCATGACGAAGCCAATCCCCTTAAATTACTTAAGTACTGCTTAAACCCTGTAATTAACATATAGTAATAAATATTTCATCTTTAACAAGCCTACTGGGAGCAGTTTGTTAAACATTTATTTCTAGTCGTGGGAAATCATGTGCGGTCATTTTGTCATGTTCTGTATCAGACAATTTTATTTTATCCTCTATTTTACCCCCAGCAGTGGGTATGCTAATTTGGGGAAATATAATCATTCCTCTAATGTATATGAAACATACTCTTCCTTCATATGTCTTTTGGCTTTTACTAATTAACTTTACCCTTCCAAAGTCTGGGCCAGCACACAGCGGCTGCTCACATCTACTTCCCAGCCTCTCCTGTGGAACTGACTCACTCCAGCTAGGGGAGCTTCAGTGGGAACCCCAGCAAAGCACCCTGGGCACCTGCAGAGCTGACCTCACAGCCTGGGCACGGTCACTTGGGGCCAGAGAGAGAAGAACCAGGGCTCCTGTGTGGCACAGCCAAGCCCCAGACGCAGGGTGGCAGGGCTGTATTTTCAGGCAGCTTCTAGCACTGATCTGCACTTCTTCCTTCAGCCCAGGTAGCATCACAGATGCACAGGGAATTCTGTGAGAACACCAGACATCACTGCCCTTCGACCAAGTCTATGTGCAGACAGCTGTTATTCCACTGCAGGTGGAATTCCAAGTGGAATAGTCACTTAAACCAGTACAAAAACAAACCCATTATAGGGATAATCCAGGACCCACCCAAGGAATACAATCGAGAGCCAAGCTGAGCTCTCACACAGACCCCCTCCTCCTGTGGCAGGCTGAATGCACCCTGTCCTGAAGTGGAGGAGAATCTCACACTGGCTGTGTCTGATATGGGTAGAAAGTGTCTATGTGCTCTTTTTGTAAGAGTATCAGTGAATTTATGGGCTATTGAGCAGGAAGTAAAGACTTCTGAAATTATAATTCAGGGTTTCACGCAGCATCTTTAGTAATGACTACAACTGTTTTCTCCTCTAAACAAATTAGATTTCCATTTGCCATTAATGACTGAATCACTTAAGTATCACAAAGGAACTGCCTGGTGCACTTATTAATAATTGAAAACTTTGAGGAAATCCATGAAACATTTTCAATCAAAGCTAATAATTCTCTAAAATATTATTTTTCGTGAATAATTACTCCTTTTGTTCTTTTATTCCTTTTGGATAATAGGCAACATTTTAAATAAAGGCATTAAAAAAAACCTGAAGTAACTGTTAAGAGGTATCTAAAACCAGAAGTGATTTCAATGTTAAAAAGCACAAATTAGAAAAGAAAAAATATTAATCTGTTTCCTTCCAGCAAGCATGCTGAATTTCTATTTTAGACTGCATGCTGTTCCTTGATATCTTACACCAATGATTAGGAAAATGTACTCACTTAATCTCTGTCCTCGTTCTGTATAAATATGAAGAAAAGCTTTCAATTGTCTTTTTGATCAGTAGAGACCATGAAATCAAGATTTCTTTTGCTACACAATTGGACTTTGCAGAACTACTCAACAGTCAAAAGGAGCAAGAAAAAAAAAAACCACCTCTTTTTTTTTTTTATCAGACCTAATTGGCATCCTGAATGCCATATTGTAGTTACTCTACCCAGTAACATTTACTATTCAGGAACAAGGGCAGAAAGATATGTGCAAAATTACCAATATCTGCAAGGGGTTTTTTGGTGTCTAAAATGATCATCAGCACAGAAAGATTGTATGACAGGTACTGACAAAATCTCCAAGACCTGCAATTTTGTCCACAGGACATGGAAGGAGGGAGAAGTAGAGGTTCAGTGCCTTTCCATCCCAGCAGGTCTCACCTGGGGATGATGGCTGCAGCCTGGAAAAATCCAGGTTATTCTATAGTCCTCCCCAGGAAAGGAGAACTAATTTTTTAAAGTGTTTGGGGGTTTTTTTGCAAAAAGAACAAAATGCATTTCTTTACCACTGGCAGGTCCCCTTACTTTTCCCAAGCCAGCATCACTGCACTCACACTGCAAGTGGCAGCATTCCCCACTGGCTCCCCTCAGAGATCCAGAGCCACGCTGTACTTTACCCCAGGCCTGACAGGCCTCAGCAGCTCTGACAATAACTCAGTGTTCCCTTCACCCCAGGGGCAGGACAACGCGTCCCCACCCAGTTCCTGTCCTTACCTGCCCATACAATGTCCAATATCTGGGAGCCTGAGGCCACTTCTCCCTCCTGAGCCTTTCCCAGCAGCCATCCTTGGCCTTGCTCCCCTCACCGTGACTCCGTAACTTCTTCCTGCGGAAATGGCGGCAACGCCACACAGGGCCCTCACAGGGCGCAGCCACAGCCCTCCATTCTGGGAAAACAAGGCAAAATGCTCGAGGTATTTAGGGCAGGACAGCAAATTAGAGAGAGATGGGCCAGTTGCGACCACAACCTGGGCTTTAAGCCCCACAGCGCACAGGCCAGTCCCATCAGCCATAATTAATCATCCCCACCTGCACTGGGCTGCTCGTTAGCCTGGCAGCAGCCCTGGCGCCCCTCATCACATCCCAGGGCCCAGCTCCAACCCGAGCGGCTGCCTGGAAAATCAAAACATTCTGAATTCACTGAACCTATATAAGAGACAACAGTGGACTCTTCTTCCATCTTTGGCCAGACTTGTTAACCTCACAAATCTATTCTATCTGCTTTTCCAGCTATTCTGGCTTATGTAAGTATTGAGTGTGCCTCTGTTTCATGTTTTAAACAATGTTTGACATCATCTATGCCAACAGCAATTAAAAGGAGAGATACACACACACACACACATATATATATTTGCATGTGTGAAAACATAGAGTAGAGGTTCTCAAGCTTTCATTTTGTTGTTATTCTTAGCAGCAGTGGGTATTCCAAACTCTTTATCAGAGGCAGCACATCTGCTGGTTGTGCACCCAGGTAGGAGCTACCCAGAGCTCTTGGAACAGCAGCCAGAGATTCTAGCAAGGGATACTTAAAGAAAAGAAACAGACAACACCTCCCAAGGCACACACTTTCATCTACTCAGTTCAAACAATGCACACACATTCCTGGCTTTTGTCTAGTCTCATACATTAATTTTTACCTCCTGGAACAAACAGAATGGGTTTTCTTCTGGAGAACAGGTTCCTCCTCTAGCACAGACTCTGACTTTGCCATGGGCAGAGCAAAGGTTGCCATCAAGCACACTCCTGCTGTCTGTCAGGAATGAAGAACAGTGACAGAAGCTGATTATCTTAGCAAATCTTGCTGCTGTGGGCATGCACAGCATGGCGTGTCCCCAAGTAGATGAAGTCAACTCACTCTCACATTTGCTGTTTCTTCCAAATTGCAAAGCTGTCATTTGAATTTCCGTGCCAACTTTTTTCACAAGAAATCTATATAATACTTCAGTCCTTGTCAAACATTATACAAAGATGAATCTTTTATTCATATACCATCTCAAAGCTGAAGACACAACATGTTTAGAGAAATTACTTACAATGTTTAGAAATAAGGGATATTAATTCCATCTAGTTCCAGTATTTTCAAAACCCTTCTTGAAATAAAAATGCATTAATGTGTTATTTCAAATAATTATCAAATGATAAAATGTTCTAATATAACCTCAATGTTATTGTCAATTTTCACTCAATGGTTTTGAATCATTTTCTTTTGCTAGTCCAAATGCTGTCTACCTCACCACTTTTATGTTTAAATAACCCAACATTGAGGAAACAAATAGGAAACAGAAAAATGAGCTGTCCTAACACTTTTACAAATAGGATGTTAATGTCCCTACTCAAAGGAGAAATTGTCAAAAAGAACAGCCGTAACAGAGAATTTTCTTCTTATGTACTTTTATTTTATTGAGTTTTTTTGCATCTTTGATGGAATTTTTATGCAAGTATTATGCCACAATCTATGATACACAATGAGAGTGAAAATCTGTCATTTACCATTTATATTTCTATGTTAATTTTGTTTTTTACCTCTGCATATACTGTGGCAAAAGTGCATTTATCATATTTCATGCAGCGCTGTTTTATGCAAACTGAGAATACAATAAACAGAGCCAGAATATTTAGCTGCACTCAATTCTTGCTACAGAAACAAGCATTCATAAAAGCATTAAAATACTTTGGGTGATGGTTACTGTCTATCAGCTTAATGATTTGAGCTATAGAAAGGGATAGGAAACAACATTTGTGGCTGTCAACTGCAGTACTTTCCAAGTTCATTAGGTTTTCAGAGACTGAATTAGCTTAAATGCTTCAGTGAGAGAAAAAGCCCAGGGCAACCAGCCTGATTTTAAAGGATGCTACAGAGTTTCACAAACATTAGACAAGTTCAGTTCTGGATTCCATGGTAAGTACCTTACCACATCAATTCTTTGCTCTGACAGAAGGATTGTTTTTTCACCATCACAGTGTATCCAAGCCAAATGAAAGGACAATACAAGGCACACAGGCCTTTTTGGAAACCTGCTTGGGTAGGTAGTACCTGATCATAGGTAAAGTTTTTAAATACAGCTTTTTATTTTGATGAGACAAGAAGCTTTTTCGTCACAGTCCATACAGCAGCAGCAGCAGGGCAAAACATACTCCCAGAGCAAAAGCATGTCCAAGGAGCACGCTCAGGACAGGGAGGTGGAGATGGGCTGAAGCCTCATCTTTGTGTTTTCCAGTCACTTGTTATGCTGTCTCCAGGTAGCTGCTCAGGACATCCAGTCTGACCCTGAGGGCACTGCTGGGGCACAGGGCCTGTGTGCAGCTGCTTCCAGCTCCCAGCCCAGCACAGGCGTGGCCATCCCTCTGCACCCCACCATTGCTCACCTCACCATTCCCTCTGCCAGCCAGTACAAAGAAGGCAAAAAGGCTCCTGCCACTACACAGGTTAGTGCTGCAGAAACCTGCAGTCACAAGGTCCACCCAGAGCCAAGCTCTCCTGGGGCAGAGGGAACAGGACTTCTGACAATACCAGTTCTTACATCAAGAGGGGAGAGGAAAGCTGGGCTCACCTGCCTTCTAGCACTATGGAGGAAGCACTAGCAATGGTTCTCAGACCACCCTGCCATGCAGTGCCTCCCCAGAAGCCAAGCACTACTTCCCAGCAAGAGAAACATCAGCCCTCTGACACAGACCAGCTCTTGAGGTTGTTCACTTTTATGTCCATCCTAAAAGTACATGGCAATTGAGATCCTAATTGACAGATAAATGTAAGGGACCAAAAAAAAAACCAATCACTACTTGTGCAAAACCACAGCACGTGCCTTTGGTAAATCAGCAGCTGCTGCTTGCCCACCTTCCTCTAAAAAAAAGGGTGAATAAATCAGACATAGCTACTTCAGAGCTAAGTTAATATCAGCAAGGAGATGTGAGGTAGAGAATAGCACTGGACAAAGCAGAAAACCAACTGCTTGTTACAAAAATAGACATTTCGCATCCAAACACCATCTTGTAGTGGTCAAGGAAAAGCATATCTTAGTAGTATGGTGAGGGAAAGACTGTTCATCCAAAACAAGGATGTTTACAGGACCCCACAGTTCCCTAATACCACACAGCATCAAAGCAGGCAGCCCAGGGAGCAGGAGTACCTCTTACTTTTGAAGTCCTTTGATGCCAAATTCTCCTGGTGATCACCCACTGCTCAGTCAGCTGTGGTCTCATGTACACTTCTTCCCTCTTCAAGTATCCCCAAACAACCTTGTCTTGGTCCCTTTTACTTCTGCCCTTCTTGGCCTCATATCTAAGGGGTTTATGCTACTTTCTGTTATCCCCAGTTGAACAACTTTGTAAAGTGACTCCCTGTTTCCAACCTCCTCCTCACATCTCCAGGTTACCTCACCATCTCCTTCCAACAAACACAGCTGGTACATTTCTCCACCAAAGTCATCTTCCAACTCTGCTTTTCAGTTTCATTACTCATCTCTAATATATAGACAGAAATATGTAATTTCTTTTCCTGGTGGTAATGACTCTTGTGTGCATAACTATGATGCTGTCCATGCCTGCTCTACTTACTTACAGTAATTAGACAGTGCCCACAGACTGAGATATGAGCCTCACCAAGCACACATTGCATCTTGGGATAGGAGAAGCTTCTTGTGTCAAAGAGGTCCCAATTTAAATAGACAAGTGACAAAAAATGGTGGAAGATAAGCTGGAATTGTTTTTTCCTTACAAACTGGGCAGCAAGGTACAGAATAATGAAGTCAGCTGCTGGATCCTTTTATTTGGTAAAGCAAAAATACATAATTTCCAGAATTCTCCCCACTTTCCTTTTGGATGCAGTGTTTTGAGGGACTACCAGTCAGAGACAGGTGGGGGCCCTGCAGTTAGAATGTCTTTCCCTCAAAGGCCTCCAGGTTGAAAGCTGTATCCAAGAACCTTCTGAGTGACACCAGATGCGTGTTCTTGTTGCCTGTGGCAGCGGCAGCAGCAGGCTCTCGGCCAACATACCTTCATGACAAAAAGAATTGGGCAGACAATGAGGTGAGAAGAGACACTATTTTGACAATAACAAGCATGAGAACATGCTGCTTAATGCATTCAAGTCAGCTTGGCAGGTTTGGATATTTAGTCATCAATCTTTTTAAAATAAAAATCAATCTAAGTTGTACCAAGTTATACCTTCTGGTCAGCTTCCCTCTCTTTCCTCCCATCATTGCTAAGCTGTGTCTTCTTCCCATCCCTCCCAGAACAGCCAGGTACACTGTCTCATAATTAGGTAACTTGCTTTTGGCAATGAAGACTCTCATTCCTTTGAGACAGGCAGATCTGAGAGTCAATAATCTAAAATAAATGCCCGGACTGAGCTCTTACAACAGCTGTTTCCTGCAGAAACCTAACATCTGGAATGAAATTCTTAAAATGACAGAATCTTAGACAAAAGAGAGCTAAGTGCTGGGCTAAGTAGCAATAAATACAGACCTAGTTGCTACTGATCTTCTTTTAGATCTACAAGGAGGAGAAATATGTGCATCTTATATTTGAGAAATAGTAGTCTAGATTTTTCCCTCCTTCACCCAAGAACCCAGACTCAGAGGTTTTGATTTGTGAAGAATTTGACTTACCCATAAATACCCATAAACAACCCCAACCAAATTTAAAAGCAAACATCAGCCCAGGAGACAGAGCAGTTGTTTAAAGTCTCATACCAGATGGGTCGAGTGCGGTTCACAATAGTGCGGAAACGAGGTCTGACATAATCGTAATATCCACTGTTTTTGTGCTCCTCCTGACACCAGACTAGATCAGCAGCTGGATACTTATCAAGTTCTTCTTTCAGCAAGTCAAAGGGGAATGGTGAGATCTGGAAAAGGAGGGTAATAATTGTCAAGGCTTTCTCTTATGTGGTATTAGCCCATGGTGAGTCATGACTTTTCCATGGAGAGTGTGACTCATGTTTCTCTAATTGATTTAATGCTCAGAAATGAATACACAAGTATTTTATAGTTGTATTAGTATGAACAGAAGTAGATCGTAGTCCAGACCACCTTCACTCCTACAGCTTTTTTAGTGAAATACCTGTAGCATATCTTTAATCAGTGAATGACAATATAGCTTCAAAGTGCACTATTCACAACATTTAAACCTAGCAGACTGCATATAAAAATTAAGGTGCTATCATATTGTAACTTAACTTTTCCAGAACAACATAACAAAGTGATCAAGTTTTCTGGATCTCATTGTCCAGTATGCTATTGTTGTGTTCCTTCTTCACAAGTCCACAAAGGATTAGAATATGTCTTGTAAGATGCTAAGTGCTAGAAAAATGCTATCACCATCCATTCTAGGAGGGGTCTGCTTAAATGAACAGAAACTCCATCACCCTGTCTTCCGAGGATCAGGGAGCTCACCTGTTCAAGTCTGGTTATAGCCACTTGTTTCTCCAGGTCTTGGTTCTTTCTCTCTTTCACAAGGTCATAGTAGACTTTTCCTGTGCAGAAAATCACTCGCTTGACCTCATGTGGTGCCTGAGCTGCTGGCCCATTCTCAGGAATCACACGTTGGAAAGTAGTACCTAGTTGGAGCACAAATTAGAAAAAGTGCCCTCAGTGGACCTGACATTTCAATACAGCATCCCAAGAAACAGTCCTTTAGTCTTTTACTGGGCAAGCAGCAGGTTGCAGTGATTGAAGGGCTCTCCTGCCTCTTTGGTCCTACTTTTCACACTGGTGACTTGGCTAAAGTGACTTTCAGCAGTTCTGTTTCAAGAAGATAGAAGATTTCCTAGAATCCAGTCTTTCATCACACTTAATAGACAGAATCACATCAATAGTAGACTGTTTTTCAGCTTTGTGCTGTGTATTACATCTTTACTTTTAAATTGATTGGACAGCTCAACTTTGCTTCCAATTTGGGTTGGTTTTTTTTTCAGAGAATCACCTGAAATACTCTTTCTTCTTTCCAAGATTATCTCAACCATGTAACATTAATACAACTTTGCAAATTTCAGAATATTCTATAAAAATAAAGCACATATCCATAATGCAACTAAATCTGGCAACTCCAGAAATATTTAGCCAAGCACACACATTACTGCTGTATATTTGATTTAAACTTCTGTTTGAGACCTAAAACAGCAATAACCAAAGCAAGAATTGGCACAGAACTTAGCCATATGTTAAAATGCTAATGTGCATCTACAATTTCAGATGCATATCTTCACTGCTACCACCTCCCAGGAGTATCATGTGCTTGGGATACTGGAAGAGGGACTTGATGGTCTAAAAGATCCTTTTCTTTGCTCTCATATATGATTGAGTAGAACTATTTCCACATTAAACAACTGCAGGATAGCAGACAGCAGCTCAACCTCCTATTCTGAACCAGCACACCCACTTACCAGGAGAATAAGCTCCTGTTTGAATCATTTATCTTGGGGAAGAAAAGCAACAGCACAAACATATCAAAGAAGAACTGATTTATATCAGAATTATCCTGTCCCACTGAACAGCAGAATTCATCATTAAAAAAGACTGAATCTGTGCTTCATTGGGTCAGCTGGAGTTAATCTTCCTCTCTCTCAGCTTTCTATTTAAAGCAGAGCAAAAAGGGTTAGCTGAGAGTCAGAAACGCTTTATTAGGTGCTGTCCTCTTCAGCAGAAACATGAAAGTATGCCAAAATTCGATGTTAATTTGGAGTTTGGCCACTACTGAGGTTAGCCTGAAGTAGAGGGGACTTCTAAGACAAAGTGACAAATCCCAAAGCCTACAGAATTTCTAATCTGACCCATTTTAGAGAGCTTTTAAACAGTAATAAAAACAGCAAATGCCTTTGCTTGAGAAGAAAATTTTACACACTTACAAAAATAAGATAATACACTGTATAAGCGTGCTTAAATATGGTAAGTTGCTTTGAAAAAACTGAGCAGTTGCTCTCTTCTGACAGCAGTCAAGACCCTCACTGGAACTGGAGACAGACCAGCACACCTATGCCCACATTCTCACTCTGAACAGTCACTTTAATCCCTCACTCATTACATGCCACTGCATTTCCTGATGCCACTCCAACACAGTCTAACCAGTGCAAGTCAGGACAAAACCACTGCAGTGTTTGGTATTCCCCTTGCAGTCACTGTGTATCTTCTGGTGCTGATGGCATGCCAACAACAGCTCTGAACTCCCTGATCTCACTTTAGATGACTGGTGTGACACAGCAGCCCCAAACAGAGCATTGTAACAAGAACTGGGCACACTATTCTTCCAAATGGGCCCAGTGTAATGACAACCTATCCCTCAGTCATGAGGCAGGGGGCATGGGCTGTACAAAGAACAACTAACTACATTTATATGTGAACACAAAAAGAGCAGAGGGACATAGCAGCCTCTTGAGGGGAAACTCCCTGCAGAGATGGGAATGCACGTTCCATTAAGGGCTGGTTACAAGATAAACCTGTTAAAACTAAGAATCTATATGTGAAAGCAAATTTTTCAGCAGAAGTCCCTGCCAGCTCTCACTATGGCATCTCCACAGAAATTATGCTGAAAGATAAAACTCTGCAGAGCAGATTCTGTTCTTCACAGTCTGACATGCAACTTGGTATAGCTAATTATTTCCCCACAGTACTTTGAGGTGACCTACCAGACACCATTTCATCAAAACTGGATTTAGCTTCTGGATGCCTCAGCAGTGACTTGGGTGTCAAAACAATCAGCTGGAAGACAGAAATTTTTTCAAGAGTCAGGAGCTGCTTTATCTCCATTACACATGCAACTTTTGTAACACTGTGCACACAAAACCCACAAAGTGAATATGCTATAGAATAAATTAGTATAAATAGCAAACACAGTAAATTATTTTTTTCCTGTTTTGAAAGACATGAAAGTTTCAAAAATATTCAGATGATTTGGTAGCCTACTCCTTTTACAGGTTCTCAAAACTCACTGCTTATGCTTTTTTTTTTGACAACAAAATCAAATCACAGGCTATGAGCCAGTAAAACATTCAACAGTTGTATCATGGGTCTTTGAAGTTCCAGCAATTAGACATGCAGATGATAGTTCTGCAACCTGTAAGCTATCTCACTAATATCTTGACAAGCTCATCTGAAGATCTGCATAGCCACATTGGAAGCTGAGCTGAAAATCAAGTTTTAGAGCCATAACAAAACAGAGCTGAGCTGCTTTCCATCAAACTGGCAACTTCAACCTGTGTTCAGTTAAGGTTTCTCACCAGAAATCCTCATTCTTTTCAGCAGTGTGTCATATGCAAAGGCCACTCCTTGTTTGATGGCTAATTTACCTGGAATAATCAAGTCCATTCAGATAACCTTACCGGCTTTCTGAATGGCAGCAAGATCTGCCTTCGGAGGACATGAAAGTAATTGGCTGGAGTTGAACAATTCACCACAATCCAGTTGCAATCATACAGCTGGGAAACTTCAAAATGCTCAGTGAACTCCTGAGAGAAATATTAAAGGCATTAGAAAAATGTCTAAAAGATCAGATAAAAGGCTTGAAAACCATCCTATTTCTGACTCTCACCAACTCCCTTCCTCAAATTATTTATTTAGCAGCTCTCAGCTGAGCTTGTTTTATTGGCTATGGAAGCACCCCTACAAATCATTCCTTTCTGTTTCTACTTCTTCCTAAAAATTTATGCAAATTAACATGAAAAGGTTCCATTAATTCAGAAAAGATGGGAAGTCCAGGAAAGAAGACTGAGGAGGACTAGGATATCAGCAGATGGAAGAAACCAAATAGAACCGCTTTGAAAGAACGTTAAACTATAATTCATTTTTTCAGTGTACAGTTGGCTTTGACTCTCTTTCCCATCCTGTAGAGCTATGTACTTTATTTGTAGAAGTGAATTATCAATCTATGAAAGTCTTAGCCCAATCAAAATTAGAAGTTGCTTATTTTCGTGCTCCTAGCAGTACAATTTAGCTCCACTGCAAAGGGCCAGGGTAATCTCACTTGACCTCCTTTAGAAATTGGCTAGAGACATCTATTTGCAGTACACACAGCAATATAAACAGCCATAAAAAGATCATGCTGCCAGAGATTAACTGTATGTGACCTCAGCTTTGTAATGAGCAGCAATGCTGCATGCCTCCATTACTTTTACTGGGATCAAGTTAAAGTTACACCAAGACTTGAAGCTAAATCCTAACCTGCTATATCTAGCTAAAAGGATGCTACTAACAAAAAATCTCTGGGATGTGAAAAGCAAGAAAAGGACAAAGCTACTCACTGGATAGGCATCAGAATCATCATTGCTCATCTGCAGAAACCTCTCAGGCCTGGCTGATGAATGCTCTGGACCCTGGTAAAGGTATAATTTAATACAACGTTAAAGAGCCAAATGAGCAGTTAGACATCAGTCTAGATCACTCACTGCATAAGTACCTCCTGTCCCCTCTGCACCAGCTGCACACCTGCCCCCCAAGCCAAAGGCATCAACAACAGCAGTGGGAGAGAGGACACACAGCAGGACAGAACTCCTCATCTTCTGTTTTCATAGGAGTTTGGATTATCACATGCATTTCCAACATTTCTACCAGCTACAAGTGATTTCTACCCTCAGACTAGCTGCACAATGAAGACCAGAGGAAAGGCAGTGGGTCCATGAGGGCACAACAATCACCTTGCTAATGCAGAGCAAACAGGAGCACGAGGAATGTCAGGAAGAGAAATACTGGGTGCCTCAGAGTACTACAGTTACTCACTCTTTTGTTCATGCTCAACAGGAGCAAACAGGTGTTAACTGCTGACTACTTTTGCTGTATTAGGAACAAAAGCAGGCACAGGATCTGCCCTACTATTGTTCACTGTTCAGTACAGGACCAAATACTGAGATGAATGCTTTAGCTAAAATGGACCAAAATACACACATGCATTATCTGCCAGAATAACCTCTGATTAATTTCTGCCTCCTCAGAAGATATTTTATGTTCTGTCATTACTGAACACTACCATCCACTGTCTCACTAGCAGTACCCATGGCAATTACTGGAATTGCACAAATGCTGTTAGCTTCATTTTATATTAGCAAAACATGCATGCTGGTCACAGAAATTATAAGGAATAAGGAATGTAGCAAATCTGCTGTTTTTCCTTTTCATGTGCCTGTTTATTAAGGATAAGAGAAAGCTGTGAGGAGTGTGAGAATGCAATGTGCTTTTTTATGTATTTCTATTGTTGACAGCCTTGGCTTGTTCAAGTGACAGGAGCCCTTAGGAAGGGTTTTCATTTTGCACACAGCTGTTAAGGATTTTAACCCAAAGATAAACTATTACACCTCTCAACTCTCTCCATGTCTCCTAAGCTAATAATGTTCATAAAGAGATTCCTTCTTTATATGGCTATCTCTCATAGTAACTTTTTCTATTAAAATCTTAATTCATTAACTCCAAAATCAGTCATTATTCTGACAACTGGTAGTCCCCCTTCACTGAACACATCATCCTTCCTAATTCCAAGTGCAGGATTCCAGATCTATCGGAGGGACACAAAGGTGATCCAAGGACTGGAGCACCTCTCCTATGAAGACAGGCTGAGAGAGTCAGGATGGTTCAGCCTGGGGAAGAGATAGTTCCAGGAAAATATTTTACAGCACCTTACAGTACCTAAAGGGGACCTGCAAGAAAGCTGGAGAGCTACTTTTTACAAGGCCAAGTAGCAATAGGACAAGGGGGAATGTCTTGAGGCTGCAAGAGAGCAGTTACAGGTTTGATACAAGGAAGATCTTTGCTGTGAAGGTGGTGAGGCACTGGCACAGGTTGCTCAGAGCAGTTGTAGATACTCTGTCCCTGGAAGTGTTCAAGGCCAGCCTGGATGAGGCTTTGAGCAGCCTCTGGTCTAGTGAAAGGCTCCCTGCCAGAGTGAGCAGGTTTGAACTAGATGGTCTTTACAGTCTTTTCCACAAAAACCATTCTATGACTCCATGGACTACGGGAATTCAAAGGAAAAAACATTCTGTTGGCAACAAAGGTATAGCACAAACAGCCCAGAACTGTGCCTTGTGTCACTGCTCCTTTCAATTCTGCCTCCACTTTTGAGGTGCCAAATAATCTGGTGACAGACAGGAAAGAACTTGAGAGCAAGGAGCAAAGCTGCACAAAACTGTGGTGCACAGTAGCAGCCCAGTTTATTGTAGCACCTCTGCTGTTCATATCTGTTTGCTGTAAATCAAATCCTTCACCAAGCATGGCACACTCAGCACAAACCCAGTGCTTCACAAGCACGCTGCAGAGAGTGCACTGGGAACAGAGATGTTACCAGCAAACAATTACAGGAGAGGCAGGTGAGGCTTTCCCATCACTCACACACTGCCCCAGCAACAACCTCAGTCCAGAGCCTCAGCGTTCACATCCATCTTCGGTTTCTGTGCTGACACCACCAATCAGACTGCCAGCAACTGCTGCGTGGGATGGGGTAGGGTTTATCTCTGCTGTGACCACCTATCCAGTGAGACCTATACTGAATCCATTAGCTACTTTCAGATGAGTCCCCAAGGAGCCATTAGGCCGCAGACTCTTTCAATCACAGCCAACTTGCCTGTGAATGCATGACCTAGAGGTGAAGGGATCCATATCCCATTAAGAATCCTTCCCCAAATCATCTTGTCCCCAACACTGTAGTTATAGAAAGACTAGTCCTCTGGTAATGAAAAGGTCCTCTGGGAAGATAAAAAGATTTCAGCAGCCTGGTGGGATTCTTAAATATCCCAAAAGCAGCTGACACTAGTAGCAAAATAAGCATGTTTCAGAAGACTTGTGCAAATCTTCTCTGCCAAGTGGCTATGGGAAAAGAAAGATTAAATGTATTCTAAGTAGCAGAGAACCAGCCCCTTCAGCTGAGTGCCTCCCTGCAGAGGACCACACCTCCTGCTGAGGGCTCATTCAGGTTGTCCCCTCAGGATACAGTTAAAAAAATTAATTTATCAAAACCCTTGTGAACAGCATCAGACCTGTTATTCTTTAAGCACAATGGATATGGAAAGCCATTCATAAGATATGTATGCACCCCAGTGTATTAGGACAGGATCATAATTGAATGGAAATAAACTAAATTGTTTGTGAGAATAGAAATGACACAGTTTGCAGTGAAAAGGTCTAAAGCATTTATACAGATGCAGATTGCCACTGTGGCACATACTATGCCTTTTTAAATAGAAAACTAGAAACATACATGCAACAATTCATGAAGGTTAATGTATTTGAAAAGGAGAAAATTAACCTTGCCTGACATGATGCTCATGTAATCTTAAAAAGAATTTAAAATATTTGAAGAACAATTCCACTGCTGATATGGACTTCATGTAACTTTACACATAGGGTGTTCCCACGCCCTTTCCCTCGAAGACATTGTCTTGTTCCTCCTACTAGCCACCAAAGAAAAGACAGTCAACAGCCAGTAGAAACATTTTCCTTTCTAGAAAGAGGAAGATTTCTTATTATATCAAAATTAACCAAGGTCAATGATTTTTGAAGAAGTTTTGAAGCTGTTTTATATCATCTCATGGCAAGAGAATTTAGTGCAGAGTTTACAGAGATATACTTTATGCAAAATAAAACCAAGCAAGCACTCTTAAGACATGTTTTTTTTTCTTATTGTACACTGAGAATGCAGCTTTCTGGGGAAAGAAGGCAGTGTCTTAGGGAAAGATACTAAAAAAGAGAGGAAAAAAAAAGGAAAAAAAATGGGAGAAGTGCACATGTCATTAAGAAGGACACAAAGCTAAGAGCTCTGAAATATTTCTCAGGGTTTTCTGGTTTTCACCAGTCACTCTATCTGAATTCTCGTAACACTGAGGCAGCCCCACATGCTTAACAGTGCCTTCCTCCCTGGGATCCCCAAGCCACCTCTGGCTTTTCCAGCTGCAGGGAAGGCAGTGCAGCCAGCACCCCCTCCGGCACGTGCCAGCCAGCAGCGCTCACCATTCCTTCCATGCCGTGGGGCAGGAGCAGGACGATCCCGTTGTGCCGGACCCACTTGGCCTGGCCGGAGCTGATGAACTGGTCTATGATACACTGAGCCGTGTTGTGAAAGTCCCCAAACTGGGCTTCCCAGCACACCAGGGCATTGGGACTCGCCATAGCGAAGCCAAGCTCAAAACCTGACAAGCAAACAAGTAGGAGAAATAGAAAATAAACAGGTTTCCTGAAAAATGTATTAATTCCTCACTAAAAATAAAACAAATTCAAAATTTGAGCATGTACTGGATTTTTGGAGCCCCACTATAAATGGTGCAGTTTTCAACAGTACTATTTCCAAGCCTGACTTCAGTCCTTCAAGCTTTTCCTCAAACACTTCAATATCATACTTTTTTTAAGAAACTAAACTCCCACCCTCCGCTCCAACATTAGTATAATCCTTTCCTAAGAGCTCACTACTATCTCTTCCTGTAAAAATGCACTTACAGCCCAGTTAAAGAGTTATTTATTAATTTTGACATTTCCACAGCCCTCTACAACATTGTCTTTCTTTCCCCCTCTCAGATGCAGATGATAATTACTGGTGACATCATTTTTCAGTCTACAGACATGGTCCTAGTCTTCAGATCTTCCCAAAAAAATTGAATATAACAGCTGCATGGCAAACACATCTGGGACTTGGATAAAATCCTTTCTTAGGCAGGGCTAAGGACCCTTTTTCTGCTTCAGTATTAAAATATTTGATCTTTTTTCCTATTTTCCTTTGACTCCTTGATATAGCAGAGCCTGGAGTGCTGAATGAATACCTGTACTCAGATTCTTCACCTATAGTTTGGAGTGATTATAACCAAAAAGGTTAAAGCTCTCAGTAAAAAGCAGAGCTATATAGCAGTGCTTTGGGTGTAGAGGTTCTGACTGAGGCACAACTGATTCAATACACACAGAGAATAAATATTCAATTGATAGATACATTTCATGTTGAAGCTTTACACAGAATATAATGATCTGGTTTCAAATACAGAACTCCAATATGGGAGTACTCTCATTGAAGCTTACCCTAGCAGATGAACTAACATTTGGGTCTTCATAGTCTACTCCTTGGTAATTCCAACCCAGTTTTCCATTTACCATCCCTATGGCATGAAACCTTTGAGTCACTTGGCTTTTGGACTACTGATCTCTGAACAGTCCATCCATGTCTCCAGCAGATGCTCACAGTCCCACTAAAAGGCAACTGATACATTGGAGGCCAAAAAAAAGACTGCAAAGTCAGACAGACGGCCCTTTGTCTGTGAGTGCCCATGACAGGTCATTACCAAAGAGAATGACTTCTTCTGGCCTTGCCTTTGGCCTGACTGCCTGAGCAGCCTTTCCTTCAGCCTTTTCTCCATCTCTGGCCTCCTTATTTGTGTAATTCCATGGTTCTTAACACAATGAAAACAAGGGAAAAATTTACACAACTCCTTCAATCATATTCCCAAAGGTATCTGAAAAATAGATTTCCCTAGATAGGCTTGAATCCCATTCTAATTTTACACAAGCATTAAGAGACCATTTCCACTGATGGGGTGACATGGTTGAGAAAATATGCAATATGTTCAAGACTTATTTGTGCATATGCCTGCTCTCTGTAAGGGTAAAATCTAGCTTTTAGAGAAGAACAAACTGAGATCTTGACCACTCAAGAGTTATCAATAATCAAACAGTGCTTTTCAGAGTATGGAGCTCAGTGCATACTTAAAATTTGGTAACAGCACACACATAATTCTACTTCATGTATGAAAGATCACCCCTAAAATTCACATGGAAAAAGGAGTATAATTTCTCATTTCCTATCTTGTTGACAACTTCATACTAACTTCTACAGGTTAGAAATGTTCTAGGTGAAGCTGCATTGAAAAATGTGATCTTAACACAGATACCATTTGCAAGCTTTCTGACAGCTATAAAAATGTCTAGGAAAATATATCCCAATGTAATCTATACATTCTGATTAGTATTTTGAGAAAAATGTTGCTGAGACTACTATTTCATGGCATATGTGTCTGTGGTACAAGCATCTTTGATATACCAGAACTCAATTTTCCATCAGGGAAATGGCAATGAGAGTTACTAAATTAAAACTATTCCAATCGTGATTGTAGCAGTGGAATACCTTTAACTCTCGACAGACTAAGCAGTCTGTGAAGAATTAGTACTACTACCTTCACGGGGAGAAAATCCCTTAAAGAATGAGAGCTGAACTGCTAAATTTAAAAAACAAAGTGCTGGTGGAGAGAGATCTAGACAGATGCAAGGTAAACAGCCCAGGAGATGGTGGGGTGTTCTCTTGAAAGGGAATTGTTTGGGCACTAGAGTCAAGATCAGGAACATGACCTGAAGTAGAAAGTCTCCACTGTTCTAGAGATGGGACATCTAGAGATGGAACTGCAGGGGAGCAGGTTCCTACTCAGGCCCCTCGTGAGGGCTCAACCTCAGACCAAAAAAAAAAAAAAACAAACCCCAAAAAAACCCAAAAAAATCAAATAAAAACTACAGCAGAGACCTTGCAAACTTTATTGTTTGCATCTGCAGAAAAAAGAATGGAACATTTCTCTAAATCCTGTCCAATATGGTGGGTTTAAAGGATTAATTCTTACAGAGCTAAAAACAGAATAGGTTGAAGCTGTGAGGAAATCCAAGACAACCAGGCAGCAAAACAACTTTGAAAGAATGTCAGGTAAGGAATCTGCACACCCAAAGGGTGTTGGAGAGCAACCAGCCAGCTCCAAACAGCAGGCAGCTGCTCAGGGCACAGGGAACCAGGAACCATCACAGCAGTTTGGTAAATTTCTACACTGACGAGACAGAGGGAAGGAAAATATGCAGCACTTGATTAAGGCTGCAAAGTTAACGTTTCAGTTGCTGAAGTTCATTAAGGTCCCTAGATGACAGACCTAGCAGAAGTGCTTGTTTCTATTAGTCCAGTGCCTGCTGTGCTCCCTCACTGTTCTTCTGCCACTCTGGCACAGAAAGAAGTGTTGTCAACCAAATTGGCAGCTTACACAGCATACTGTGCTGTGTTTTTCCCTACAGCATTTTCATGATTGTCATAAGAATAGCTGTTTTTCAATTAATGTAAGTAAGGCTACAGCCATAACTTAATTCAATATGATTTTAAAGTGACTTAAGGCATGAATGTTAACTGATGGTTAAAAGGGATTATCAGTACAAGGATTCTATGTCAGAATGAAGAAAGGCTCAAAGATAGATTTTTGCTATCTTTAACAAAAATTCTAAGCACAGGGACTACAGAGGGATATGCATCCTTTCACAAATCCAAACACAGCTCAGGTTAAGGTGAAGTTAGCACCCATCTGGTAGCTGACTCTGTTAAAGAGGGAGACTGATGCCTTCTGAGAACTCCATACAGATGTCATTGTTTGCTACAGTCTGTCATAATTTTACCTTAATACCTGTCTTCTTCCTTTCATCTTTTGCTTAAAACTTGACTTTTTCCCTTGAAAAAAATATACTCCAAGTCCCATGGTTCACAAATTTCCTGAACTACACACTAGTTCCAAGTCTATCTTGCCTGATTTTCCTTGAAGGCTCCCAGTATGGAATGCCCCAACCCAAGATCTCTCAAAGGCAGTATTGAATCTGACAAAGAACCTCACCTCTTGGATAGAGGTTCAGCACTACACAAGTCATTCTGAGGGCCATAAAGAAAGACAGGAAATACTTTCACGTATTTAAAAAATGCTGAAGAGCTAGAATGGAACATCTGTATTTAAAAAATGCTGAAGAGCTAGAATGCAGCATCTGTAAGTTGCTTTTGTTTTTCTCCTCTATCCTAATCAACAAATAAGTTCAGACAAACATCTTTGGCTTAAATGACTTCTCACGGCCATCACTTACACTTCCAGATATTCAGTTTCAGTACAAGGGAAAAATTATAGCAAGGCAAGTGGATGCACAACTAAATTTATTATAATTGGGTATAACTAAAAATAGTAGACTTCGGATGTCAAACAAAATTATCAGAGATTGTTAAATACTCTAAATTATGAGAGTTTGTTAAGTACTCTGATTTAATGCCCAGGTTACACCCACCCCAGAGCTTCCTGTAGGCAAAACATAAGCAGTTGTCAGAGCTACAACTGAACAAGACTGACTTTGTTTTCTTTCTAAGTGAAATCAATCTTGCTGTCATTTTAATGGAGCAGTGGCTCCCCAGGTGTTCCTAAATACTTTGACTATAACTTTGTGCAAACCTCACAGCTCTGAACAGACACCAGCTCTTGGCTTATATACCTGCCAAGGAAATAATCTGTAGTTATATCATGCTGGGCTGTTTAATCCATTTTTACTTAGCTCTCCCTCACAGATATTAAGCAAATTCCTAAAATGCTTCTGAGATGCTCCATGTTAACGCAGTCATAAATAAATTCCTAACACTTTTTCACCATTTTCTTCCCTTTATATTATCTCACAACTCTCCCTACAGCCACCAAACACTTGAGTCTGCTAATTCTAAACTGCTTATTTTAACAAAATTAGATAGTAGAAACAGCAGTTAGAGAAAATAAAGTGTTCAGGGGTTTTGGTTCTCCTGAAGAACCAATTCCATGAACTGCAAGCCTTCACTTGTTCTTCCATGTATTAAAAAGGAGACCCAGTGAAGTTACCAGCCAAATAAATATAAATTCTGATAGCTCTTCTTTGACTCAGAGCCTTTAACTAGAAGAGACATGTTCACACACTGCTGCTTATCCCAAAACTGTCTCTCTATGGAGGCAATACACAAGAGTAAAGATGTTGGAAAAGGTCACTAAATAAATACCAGCAAGAGAGAGAAAACTTCATTATAAAATCACTTCAACACAGAACATGGCATTTTTAGTTTAAAAAAACCCAACCCAACAAACACACAAAAAGCCACATCACTTATCAACTATTTGTACCAATTTAATCTCCTTTACTGTTAGGAAGCATCTTGGATGCAAGGGATTTAAAGTTCTTGAAAATTAGAAGTTATTAAAAGTAAATAATAGTTTTGGAGAACCTGTCATCCCATCTGCTGAAGCAGAAGTGCACAGAAATGGTATTCTTCTTTTCACCATACAAACAAAACCTATTTTACCCTATTGCTTGTATTGAATGAATTTTATTAATTCAACTTTCACCTATCTTTTGCTGGGTAAGGTGGAAGGGAAATGAGCAGGATGAGATCAAGAAAGTGAAAGAAAGAAAGCCCACTTGGTTAATTCCATTTTAAAGAATGGAATTGTGACAGATAGAATTGCCTTCAAGCCATATCAACACTAGGCTTCCTATTGAGGTGTTATTTTTGAAACAAAACCAGATTTCAACCATATCCAGACATTTGTCACTTCTTTTGGAATGTAAAAAAAACCAAATCCAGAAACCTATGACCCACTTACCCACAAGTTTTGCAGCAACACTGTAAACAGGCTCAAATTAAGAAAACCCAGAACACACTGTGAGAAACAATAGGAAATTTGAAACAATCATTCTCTGAAATTAAGTCTTGAATTTTATCTATGCAAATTGTTTTTCTCCTGTTTATACACTCCTTGCTTGCACTCTTCTATTAGGGTTTACCTTTACATGTTAGCAATACAGAAAGTGTGATTCTGTTCACACCAATTCTACCACAGAGCTAACAAAAATACCTAAAAAGTCTAGTCTCCAGGCCGTGCTCCAGCCTGTACAGTTTTATATCACTTTAATTTTAATATTATTAGCAATGGGCAATATGTAGCATTACAAAGATGACTAAGTAACCAAATATTTCTGAACATTGAAACAAGCAGCTGTCAACTACCACCTTTAGCTACTACAATGTTTCAAGTTTTTCCTTCACACTATATTTTATTGTCCATAGAATCAGTAACGCTTCTGATGTATTATTAGATGTATTTGTTTCATGCTTCACATTCCTCTTGCCACCCTCATCATGTCAGAATAAAGTTATCCATTCTCTGTGGCTGAAGGTAAAATAATTCACTATGATTAATGCTATCACTAAAAAGAATTTGTTTTCTTGAAATAGCACATTCAGAACAGCAGTTCAGATAAGGCCAGGATGGATTTTTTATATCTCTATGACAAAGTGTCTCTGGTTTTCTTGTCAGTTCCTCTTACGAAAGCATCAGGTGCACATTCCAGCACTTCCAAGATCAACAATAGCAGATGGATGCTTTTAATTGAATCCCAAAACTGTAAAATGTGGGGATGCTTGTTCAAGGGATGTCAGAATCTGAGAGGAAGAGCTTTGACACCCGTTTCAAACATGACCATTTCACAGCCTTTTTTCCCCTCACATGCTTTTCCTTGCTGAGCTCTGCTTCCTGTCTAGCAGCCATAGCAAACCCCAGGCACCCTGAGACATACCTAAGACCCCGTACTCGGAGAGGGAGCTGTTGCACACGGTGTAGGGGGCCTGCTGTTCCCACAGGTGATTCATGGGAACACAAATTCTCTTGTCAACTTCCTGATCATGAAGCACATGGTGACGATGGCTGCAAAGAGTTGTTGAAAGACATTTATTAGCCAAGAATAATTTTGGGCTTTAACTGAGCTATTTTCAAAGCTAAAGAAGCAAAATTGTGGTCTGGAAAGCAAACAAGCACCATGGTTATCTTTGCTACACACAACACCCTGGTCTGGTTGAAGCCATGGGAAATACAATCACATGTCTAAATACAATTGCTGCACTGTAAGGACTTTTACTGACTATCCAGGCTTCTCAAGCACTCACAGAAACTGAAAATACCTCATTGCTAGTAGAACTGGGAGAAAGAGAAAAGGATGGGGAAATTGTTGATATAAAATAGAATTTTTAGAAATTCAAAGGAACAAAATTGTTATTAAAAACATTTCCTTCTGCCTTCTTCACAAATTCTAATATTTTCCTTGAAATAACTGTTGTTTGTCTTTAATGGAAAAAAATGTAATCTTCAGCAGCGAAACGTGAAGGAGTTGTATCCTCTTTCCTGCTATTTCCACTCGCATGCACCATTTACAGTTCTCTAGAACACATTAATCAGCATTAGAATAGGGCACCAAGGAATACTACCAAAACAGAGATGACTGAAGTAATTACTGCAATCCATTAAGTCTCTGAGCAGACTGAGGGAATCACAGCAATATGCCCAGCTTTACAACCACCACCATCAGGCCAGTTGTCTGTACTGATAACAATACTGTGTGTTGTAGAGCTGCCAGCACTGAAGACTGAATCTTTTTGCACTTCCCTTTGCTATAACGAATGCTAGCAAAAGAGCTCTGAAATTTATCTAGAACTCAACAATGTAAAGCCAGAAAAAGACTCAACCTTTGAAAAGCAGCACAGGGATGGAAGCAGAGAGAAAGGGGGAAATCCACACACCAGGCAGCTGTTTGGCTGCCAAAATAATTTTTGCCACTGTAATTTTAATTTTGTCATTAAGCCAATGACAGAAGACCTAGCTGTTAAGCTTCTTGAGTACAAAGTTTTGTGTTTCCCAAGCAAAAGGTGATTAAGGTGAGCATAGATGGCCAGCCAGAAATACACAGACATACAATTTGCAAATGTGCAATTGTCAGATTTATTGACATCAAACCAGTACAGAATCAAGGCTGTCCCCCTTTTCCTCTGTCCTCAAGAGTTTGTCTCCAAGAGGAGAAGGGGTCTGGTGCCTCTGTCAGCATCTTCATCTAGCTTCTATCTATTGATAGAGTTGAGGACTGAAACAGGAAGAAAAGAAGCCATCACATGGAATATTGAAAGAAAGAACTATTTTCTAGACATCACTTTAGAAACTCCAAAATAGTGAAAGCACCTCATTGTGTTGTTTTGTTATGGCAATGCAGTATAGTCAATGCTTCCCAAATTCTAGCCAATGCTATACCAGAGAAGACAGGCACCAAAATTTAATTCTCTCTTCTGCAAGCATTCACAATGAAGCACTGTGCAGCATTCATCCCAGGAATTGGCATCACATCAAAGGTTTCAATTAAATACATCATTAACATTTTACCCTACAGAGAATCAGGTAAGGCAGCAAACTGTACATATTTTACCAAGTGATGAGATCCTGCCTTCATACATGCCCCATAGGCATTAAAATTCTCAGTACAAAGCACCTTATTTCACTTTAAAAGCCTCACCAAGTGGCAACATGTTTGTTCATAGGGTACACAAGTCCAAGCAGCCACCACTGGAATTTAAGAGACTCAGGATCTGCTGCAGCAAGTATCCTCTCTTACTTCCCAGCAATTAGATGGAATGCAACTATATTTCTTGTTAGAAAGCAGGGGGAAAGATACCATTTCTGCTTTTCAGCAAGAAAAGGTAGAAAGCATCTAAAAATGTTTCTTCTGAATTTAATATTATACTTTAAAATGCTGCTTAGAGATACACAAGAAATTTTATTATTAATGACTGCAAGAACCTCTAGCATTCAGATTAATGCTGAAGAAAGAGCCCAACTTCCCCCTCCCTGCAGAAAACCTTATTTTTTTAACAAATGCCAAGTTGTTTGTTTGAGTGTGGGACATCAACAGTTTTAACATCAGTTAACAGTTATCTCAGTACTGACCTGAAAGTACCTCTCTCCACATCCTGCCCACTTAGTCGGACATGGATCCCTTCTTTGAGAACAGAGCCAAAAGCCATGTACTCTGCTAGGGCCCAGTCCACGAGCCTGTTCTGGGTCATTTCCGAGCGGGCTTTCAAAATCCGAGAGAGTCCTACATGAGAATAAAGACCAGAAATGAGTGGCTCTATTTCAGAGAAATTCTCTGTTCACACTGCATTCACCATTCTCCTTTCTCATTGCCTAGACTAAATGCAGATACCAAATCGGGTCTACAATCTGTTTTTCTAGAACTGAACTGCTGGCAAAACAAAAGAACTTGCTTCCTGAGCAAACAGTTGTGTAATGTTCATGCCTTCTGTTTGAAGAAGTAAGGCTGACTGTGTCAGAAACTACTGAGGACAATTAAAAAGACCCATGGTGAATTTCTTCTTTCTCAAGATTTATTTTCACATCTCTAACACCAAGTACTGTTTTATAAGAGACTGAAAATAGCAACTTGGTTTCTGAATTTTTGTCTTCCTTCCTTTCCTCCTTTTTTCTTGGCATTTGTCTTATTGCATCTCTGGAGATGTTATACAGTGAAACAGGCTGGATTGATCAATACTATGAATATCATATAAATAGAAAAACGGTAGCAGCTGCCAATGGATTTTCAGTTGACAGCAAATGGCTGACTTTTCAGTGAAGACTTTATAACCTCTTGAGCCAAAACACAAGTTACAACACTGTCACTTTCAAAGGGAACAAAACTTCACAGCTGCACACAGGTGCTTCCAGCTTTGAGGTCACAAGTCTCCTGTATTCACTGTCAATTAATAGCATCTTATTTTCACATCTGCGCTGATGATTTTGGTAAGCTGTCCCATATCCTATTTTCCCACATTTCCCTTTCCTTACTTTCCACAATCTTACAGAAAAACATCCCACTTTCTTTCCACATAAAACTCTCATTGAAATTGCCTCATTTTAAGTTTAAAAAAAATCTTGAAAGTTTTTCCTTTAGAATATACTCAATATTTGATAAAAAAAAAAAATCTTACCATTGTTTTTTGCAAGACTATATGATAATAAGCTTTTTCATTATAGTGAAAGGACAAAGTACTTCAAATTTCTGTTTCTCTTCAAATTCTCTCTCACAGCCTTTTAAATTGCATAAAAGAATCTAGCATACCATAACTGTTTTGAACCATAAATCTACCTTATATACTGGCAAGTGTTCCCTAGTGTCAATGGTTAATCAACTTACTAACAAGAGACCGATTCACCTTTTTAAATAGTATGTCCAACACTAAATTTTATTGGGCAACTACAAGTTTCCCAATTAGTCACAACAAAGTGCACAAATGTGTAGAAGAGTTAAATTTACCCATTAATTCTATCTGCTCAACAAGCCTGTAATTAATAACTGGGAATGCCCCACCATCATTACTTGTGTTTCATTTCCCAAAGGAACAGAAACACATAGAATATTTACAGAAGGCAAACTTCATTCTTTGATGAATGACTCCAGAGAGAATTAGCTTTCTCTGTTTAAAGATCTTAAAGAGAAAGAAATCTCTTTATTCCTTATCCTTAGTATGTGCCCTACAAATCAACAAAAGGAAAAAGATCCCTAAAGAAAGGGTCTCCATGTTTCTCCATGGAATGAGCAGGTTACTGTTCCCAATAGTTGCTAGATTTCAACCTGCCCATAAATTAAAACTATCTCAGAACTCTGACACAGTGTTGGGCTTCCCCAGTGACACAGGCACTTACTGTAATAGATGCCAAAGTGAGGACTGAATCTTTTCAGAACGAAAGCTAAGACTTTTCTGGGGAAAAAGGCAAGGACTTGAAGAATGAAAGGAGTTATTAACTTAAGGTTGCAAAGAGACTTCTACCTCCCTCAGAGGAAAATCTATTTTAATGATGTATGAAACAGAAGTGGTGTGATACTGAAAGAATATTATGCTGAGAACAAGCAGCAGGAACTTAAATGTCACATTCTCCTCACCCATGGAATGGAAGAGTCAAAGTAAAAAAAGTCACAGACATTTTTCTCTTTGAGAAATGGCCCAAGAATAACTTCTGTGCAGAAATACAAAAACTTAGCAGCACACAAAGCTAGGAGGAGACACAAAGCCTTCAGCTGACCTGAATGTATTTTGAAGTCTTCGACTGGCACTGAACTGGCGACGTTGCCGATGTGGGTCAGCAGCTCCTCGGAAATGCCCGTCGGGGGACAAGACATGCTCTTGGGCTCTCCATCCGCGTTAAAGAAGCCTGCAAGGACAATGTTTGCTGAGATGTTCAAGGACTCTTTAGGAGATATGTACACTACCTATCATTTATTCAACAACTCAAGTGACATGCTAAGCAGCAGACTAAGCCCGGTTCTTTCCCTTTTGCTGGAAAACAATAATTTTGATTGCCTGCATGACAACAGAAGCTGATCTTACTGGCACACAATGATCTATTTTGTTTCTGCGTTCACTCCCTGTGAAGTCCAGCTATGTGGGCAGAGGCTGCCAATAAAAGGCATATGGCACCTCAATCTCTCAAATGAAAACAAATAAATGAATAACTAGCATAAGACATACTCCTTCTTCCTGACAGCCCAGCCAGTTTAAAGTACAGGAAAACTACTTCTCTGCAAAACTGGAAAATGGCTTTTTCAAAGTCACAGCTTACTTTGCACATTTTTTAACAAAATCATTTATTTCATGTTGATCTGGCAGAATGCTATATTTACTATTAACAGGGGCAAATAAAAGGTCACATATTCCATTTTAAAGGAATGTTGTCTGATAAAATCTATTTAAATCCTAGATTTTCGACTCAAAATAAAAGCACATTCAGGTAGCACTACAATAAGTGAAAGGACACTCCTTACCAGGCCAAGGGGAATCCAGCCAGTGCTTTATATGAAGGATCTTCTTATCCTTAGATCTAGTATATGCTTCTTCACATATTCTGTCATACTTTGCAATTTCTTCCTGTAGAACAAAAAGGTTTTAAAATTAATAAATATAACACCCTCATATCTTACAGATGACACCTCTCCTTCAGCATGACAATACCAGCTATTTAACTCCATGAGAAAATTCAGTTACAATAATACAAATAAATAAAATTAATTTTATCTAGGATCAAACTGCCTTCTAGAAACATGCTTACACATCTAAAGCATCTAAATAAATAATTTCATTGGACAGGTGTTAGAGAGGAGTGCATCAAGAGCTGAAGCTGCAAGCATTGCTCTAGAATGAGACAAAAGTGAAATACCAAATATAATTTACAGTCATACTTCCAAGATCAAAATCATCCAGCTGTCATACTCCTGGCTATGAAAGCCACTAAAGTTTGGAAAAGAAGTTTCCAAAAAATTAGTCTGTCTGGAAGAGTTGAGCAAAGAACCTGCTGGCCACACCTCCCAATGGCAACAGAGAATACCATATTCCATAGAGGCAGAACACCTCTGCAATACCTGTGTTTCAATCCAGAATCACACTGCAGTTATTGAGCTAGCTAATCTTTAAAGGAATTAACAGCAATGTTGAGCTCAGTCTGTGCAGCCAAACATCCATGCAGGATCCTAGATCCAGTCACCAAATCCCACTGTGCGTCTACTGGCACACTCTTTCAATATATGATTCAGGAAAGCTACTTCTGTGTGAGCTGTGATGCTTCTTACAGACCACAGACTGTACCTACTCAAACTGCTTACTTCTTGATCTGCAATATCACATCACTACACCTTCTCAGAAGGTCCTTGAAGGTTTCAAGGCTCCTCAGAAGATTTCATCTGCACTTTAAACACCCATTCTCAAAAAAATTAAGGTAAAGACCTAGCCAGTTTAATGCAGACACCAGACTCTACACTTCACCATTCTAGAATACTTCAAATGATCTCTGAACTTGGTTGAATTCTTGCAAGAAAACTAAAAGGTTAAATTGATTCTATTTCATCATTGCTGGACACAAGCTTGCCAAGGCTATCAATACAAAGCTATCAACAGGAGTGTTCAAATACTGTCTTGCTGCTGAATCAAGGTTCTAGAGATGAAGAACAGCTGACAAGTGCTTCTATTTTCCAATATTCTCATTTAATCACCTTCTCCCTCAGAACTGAAGCAATTTTTTACGAGCAATATATTTTAATTGCTTCAGAGCACTTCCAGTCCTTTTGTTACAACAATAGTATTTTACATGAAAATCCAAGCCAAATGGAATCACGAATTCTCAAAGGGTAGACTTATCACAGTAAGGAAGTTTTCAAGCAGGCAGCATACAGTGATTGTTGGGTCTTTCTCCTTACATCTCCTTAGATTCCCTATAACTCTGTAGGCATGTACCTCAAACTCCTGCAGTGTCACAGTCCCATCAGCAATCAGTTTGTCAGCATATTTCTTCAGCACTGGCACCTGCTTATGGATCTGCTTGTACATCAGAGGCTGGGTGAACATGGGCTCATCCATTTCATTGTGCCCTCTCCTACGGTAACAAACCTACAAAGGGAAAGATTGCTTCTGTTGATAAGGAAAAATGTAAAATAGAATCTTTTCATTTCATAATTTTACAGAGATTTGAAGAGGCTTATTGTATAAAAAGCATTAATGGCTTCATATTGGCCTGTTTGCTCCTTGGTTTTTTTAAAATGAGGAAACTAAAGGCCTTTAATATTCAAATATGTTTCTTGACTGGACCTTCTGAGCCACAAAAAAATAAAGAGTAGTACATAATGCACAGAATGAAAAGTAAAGAAAACCAAGACTTACCAAGTCAACGACCACATCCTTATTGAAAGTGTTTCGCCACTCTGCAGCCACGCTGCACACGTACATCACGGCCTCAGGGTCATCAGCATTCACGTGGAAAATGGGAGCATTCACCACACGAGCAACATCCGTGGGATACGGAGATGAACGGGCCATACGGGGGTCTGTGGTGAAGCCAATCTAAAAATTCCAGAAACTTCCATTAAAATAATTTGGGCACCTCCCGCTACTCTGTTTTGAAGTTTGCATTTAAGAGCCATTCACATAGCAACAGCATCAGCTTTTCATTTTGGCCAGCTAGCTTCTTTTTGCTCCCTTAAAACCAAAGCAAGCCTAATCCAATTAAGTATTACAAAGTGAATGGAATACATGCAGGTGATAAAATATTATCCACTCAAGAGCTGCTAGATACTAGGATCATTTTCAGAAGCACCTCAACCATTCTAATATCCTGAGGGGGAAAGGAACCCAGTTAATAACAAACAATAAAAAGAGATAGATGGGCAAATATTCAGCAGAGAAGTTGATTGCAAAAGGCTGTACGTGTTACCTGGTTGTTGACCACAACGTGAATAGTGCCATTTGTGGTGTAGGATGGGAGGTCACTAAGATGAAATGTCTCATAAACCACTCCTTGTCCTGCAAAGGCAGCATCCCCATGCAATAATATGGACATAACCTAAGAGGGAGAATTGTACACACATATTCACACATATATTAGAAAGGAAAACTGCAATTTGAGGTTCTCAGCAGGATTTCTTGGCTCCATATTTTTGTAGTGCTTATAGAATAAAACAGCAATTTCATAACAAACCATAATTTCTCAGCATTCTGCTGCCTTTTCTCAGTTTGCAAAGGAAATGAAGCTTTAAGCCTACTTTCCAAAGTTACCCTTGAGGTCAGAAAGCTTACCTAGTTCAACAGGTCATATATCCTTTTTGAAGGAGGAAAAGTGGAAGATTCTGTGATATGAAACTACTGCCAAACTATTTTTATTGGGAATACCATGAAAAACTAGCATTAAAAGTTACTGTATTAAACAATCTTTACCTTTTTCCCTGCTGTATCTCCTCGATAAAACTGTTCAGCTTTTGTTTTGCCTTGCACAACAGGATCAACTGCTTCCAGGTGAGAAGGGTTAGCCATCAGAGACAGAGTGATTTTCTTGTTTGTTTTTCGATTGATCCTCTCATGGTACATTCCCAAGTGGTATTTTACATCCCCAGATCCCTAACAAGAAAGAAGTAATCACAATTCAGGAATGTCATTCTGACCTGCTCCATATGATTCACTAGGCCCAAAATTTATGCTTCAGCCTGAAAACTGCATCTGAAAACTGCATAACCAGATCATCAAAACATCAGTGTGCACTATGGGTTTGACACCATAATTTCAAACTAGGACACTGTTCCAATTCTATTATCTTACTGTTGTCATCAAACATTAGATAAATACTCACAGCATATTAATATTGTGCTCATTCATATAAAACAAAAAGAGATGCTTACAGGTTATGAACTCTGTCAAATGGAACTTATTTATCAACAGTCACTCCTGAGAGACCTTCTCCATGTTAGAAGTATATTATAATTTTTTAATTTGTTAAGAAATTTCACCAAATCATGTTTCTCAAACTAGAAAAGAAGGCATTGCAGGTGATAATGCTGTTTTCATAGTAAACATAATCAAACGACTGAAAACTATCTTGAATGTTGACCTCTCCATACAGATCGAATGAAAAAGCATCTTACCTCATCAGCTGCTTCAAGTTTGGGATCAAACTGACAGAAGATCTGCTCCAGCTCTTTTCGGATTACATTAGCCAATACATTCAGCCGACCTCTAAGAAAATTCCAAACAGAGTTATATCTCAAACATGGTAGCAGAGGCAACAACAAACTGACAGAAGATCTGCTCCAGCTCTTTTCGGATTACATTAGCCAATACATTCAGCCGACCTCTAAGAAAATTCCAAATTCCAAGAGTTATATCTCAAACATGGTACTAGCAGAGGCAACAGTACAAAACTCACAAAATCTGTAAACCTCCCTGTAAGAAATTTGCAAATGTTCTCCTCAAACTTTTGAGCCTGAAACCCTTGATTCAACCCTTATTCCCATTACAAAGTTCCTCCAATGCATTCCCTCAGACATTTTAGAACACCCTGTTATCCAAGTGAATTTTGTAGCTATCTAGCAGTCTTCAAATAACCACATTATAAATTAGTTAAAGCAGACTGCAAAAGTAAGTTCAAAACTACCTCACCAAGCTTTCCCAGTTCTAGAGACTCTAAGCAATGGAAGAGATACCATGGCTGCTGCCACATTTGCTTGCAGCTTCAAAGTACACTGAGGAGAGTTTCTCTGTCATTTACTTGTGAAGCCTGTAGCCTCTTACTGACAGGCATTTGCTACAGTTCCATGTTCCCATTACTTGCTATGACTGACTCTTCCTACCTCAGCTTCTCTAATATCAACTTTTAAAATAAATTTCTAGAACTCAAAATAATCGTCCCAACACAGTAAGCCCATTTGTTGGGGCATTTCCATTGGCATTACCTATGAGGCATTCCCATTATAACATATTCAATTCCCATTTCACTGGATTTATCAATGATGGTTTTAAGTGCAGGAATCATTACTTCACATCCTTCCAAACCAAATCTCTTTTCGGAAGACCACTTTCGAGCAAGGAAGTCTTCAAATCTTAGCCAAAAAGAAACAAAAAAACCAAGAGAAATTATCTGTACTAAGGTAAATAGAAAACAGAAATTGTTTGCTATCTTACAGCAAATAAAGTTACATTAAATTGTTTTAAAACGTCTGAATACAAGTTACACACCTCTGGAATTCAGTCACACATGGGGAGGTAAACACAGGAGAGAATTCAGTCTTCTTTCTCCCCCATCTGAAAACTGTTATCTAGGACTACCTCAGAAAAAATTCACTTCCCAAGTTGAACTCTGTTCTCATGTACACAAATCTGATCGCTGGGAAGGCAGAGTGACAGCAAAGCAGTTTCTTTTATGAACTGAAGAAAATAGAGAACTTGTATTTTCTAATACTTGTAACAAAACCAGAGTAGAAAACACACCTATTCCATAGGTCTCATTCAATAGCAAGGCTCCTCAGACTGTGTGATGTAACATTTAGGAATGGCCAAGAAGCAGGACACTGGTATCCCTGCCTCAGCTTCAGCAGCACAATGATGTCAATCCGTGACAGCTCTAAGCTCTTTCATTCTTTAATGCATTTGGGCCAGAGGCAATGTGAGTGGTTAAAAAGTACCTTTTAACAAGCATTGAAAGCATTATACATTGTAAAGCTAGGAGACAGGAAAAGCAAAGAAAATACATCTTCATGAAAGTAACTGTATTGGTTACATCATCTGTGCAGTGCCTCGCCTCACAACACTGCCATAATCCATTAATACTCAGCTTATTCCTCACTTAGAATCCTGACATTTACCTCTTCAGACTGAAGTCCTAAAGGCAGTGATACGAATTGTTGCCAAAATCTCTCCTAGCTCATCCATCAATACCTTACAATCAATCCAACCATCTAAGCAACAAGCCAGACCCTCAAGTGGTTGCCAGAATTCCTGAGGGAAGTCTGTGGGGCTATGCCAGTTTCTATACAAAGGGAAAGCAGTGTGCCATGTGTGCAGCAGGTCCCACAGGGCAAAGCAAAGCAGTGCACACCCTGATTTTTTTCTCTTTGCAGCAGCAAGTTCAGCTAGTAATGGACAAGCAGCAAGTACATCACTTGAGGCCAAGTGCCACTAAGTGTGTGGAGCTACAGTATTTCACAGTCACACCTTGCCAGTCCCCCACATGCCACTGGGGGTCACAGAGCCCCAGCCTCTGCCACTGCATGCATTCAGTACCCCGTGAGGAAAACATCTGGTGAAAGCTGGTTGCTCTTAGAAGGGATTGATCTGGAAATGCTTGACCCTGCCCAGATCAGGCTCCACATCAGGGTCTAACATGTTTACTAATGCATTACAAAGTAGCTCAGAAATATACAATACGTATTTTACATAAGGAGGAGTTTAAACTAATTTGTTAATTTGTTCAACAATCGCTCAGTGAAAATCACAAGGGATGAGAAATCCAACTTTAAAATTCTGTTTCAAGTACCTGAACTCTGTAGTTATTGGAATGAACATTTTTAAAAACAGTCTCGAACAAAACAATGAAAACCTGCTTTACAAAGCCACAAATCTCAAGAGGACAAGCAGTTTTCCACAAAACCAGACATTTTTTCCTAAGTAATTTTTAAACAATAAAATAAAAAAGCACTCTAAAGATTGCTGGACAGAAATTTTTGTAAAACTTTTTTCTTCCCCATTCAGCAGACAATTAATTTGGCAGAAGATGAACATTAGGCTCCTTCATGCCACTAGAAACCCCAGATCTTTCCACAGCTTAGACAGCAATAAAAGCACAAATTCTTGTCTTAGGATAAATGGAGATGGTTCATACTGAGTGCCTGTTAAACAAACTTACTCAAGTGTAATATTCACTTGACCAGTAAGTGTCATTTTTATTGCTGTTTAAATGAAACTTTTAATGAAATTATCTTAATGTCCGTTAAGATAATTTCATTAAAATGAAATTCCATTTCCATTAATTTTAATGAGACATTATAACACTGGCAAACAAAACACCTGGCAAACGTATCTTTTGGCACCTCCAATGAGCACTTTATTATTAGATGTTTGAACACAGAATCTTAAGCAAAAATTGTGCCTTTCCAAATATCTGACTCTTGGAGTTTAACAAAAGACATACACACTGTTTCAGATTGTAGGGACTGAAATAAATCTTGTGTCTGAGAAGCCTTGTTCCAGGGGTAAGAGGATAATTCATTCTGTGGGATCACAGCATTTCCACACAGATAGCCACAATGGGAGCAGTCAATAAGCTATTTCCAAATGTGCTTTCTTTTATTGTAGATACTAAAATTGCTGCTGCCAGGTCATGCAACAGCACACCACATCTTGGCATATCTCAAAATGAAAAGTGCAGAAAGGACTTGAAATCACACACCAAAATTGTTCTGACACTTATTTGCTGAAACAGGCTACAAATCTTTAACACAAACATATTACTAGTGTGTTGAAACAACTTTTTCCTACTTTACCTGTGCAAGCCAATGAAAACACTGCCAGGCATGCCACTAAATGCCTTTTAAGATAACAGAATAGTAAGTCACAACACAGATTGCTCACAGCACACACGTTCTTTGAGAAGGCAGCCAGGTTAAGTACACCCACCCATACTCCTGTCTGCAGTGAGACTGTTCCCCCACATCAGCAGCTTCCAGGCCCCAGCTCCCAGGCAGCAGGCACGGAGCAGTGGCCCAGCCCAGCCCAGCCCAGCGTACCTCATGGAGCGCACCAGCCTTGCCAGCAGAGTCCTTTTATCCTCGTTGGTGAACTTCATAACTCCTGGTGTCTCAAACTTCTGACGGATCCACTGGCACTGCTCCACATCGTTGATGAACATGAACTCCAGGCCAATGTGCTGGCAGTAGGTATGCTAGCAAGTGAAAACACCAACAGAGAAGCTTTAGGAGCTGGTGGGCCACAAAGAAATTAATATATGTTTAAATTATATCCTCTGTTACTCTCCTGAAAGCTATCTTGTCTTCCTCTTCTACAATATCTCCCCCAAAGTAATTCTAGAAATGAATAAATTGTTTTACTGAATCTAGTTTTGTATCACAAAGCTTTCTCTACAAAGTAACATTTCAAAATGTTTAAACTGGAAGATTCTCATCTCATGCTACACTCAAAGTAGGCCAACAAACCTACATTACACTATCTGGCACATTTCACGTAACTCCGTGCTTTTCTTACAGGCATAGGAGACCCTTCTTTAGATGCATTAGCAAAGATTTCAAGTAATTTATCAAAATCTGTGTACTTTATCACAGCTATTGTAAATGTAACCTTAAATCAAGAAATAAAGACAGTGAGAAGACAGCTAGGAAGTCTAATGCAAATTATCTGATAACTGTAAAGTTTCAGAAACTGGAAATGTGAAAAACTATTCAAGCAGCAGAGAGCAGAGAAAGGGCAGGGAGAAATGCAAAGACACAGAAGTAATTTTATCTCCTTGTTAATTTTTCAAATTTTATTTTTCTTACTTTAAAAAGAGTATTTCATTAGAAAAAATATTTCCAAAATACAAGTCCACAGAAGTAAGACCTACTGTGAATTTGAGACAAAACTACTCTCAACATAGCGTGTGTTCTCTACTGCCTTTAAGGAGTTGAATGCTAACCTCTATTAAAAAAAAAATCAAAGCTCTAGAGACAAGAGGAAAGAAGAGGGTTATTTCTCCTTAACACAAATCAATTTCTAAAGGCTTTTGTATTTTGCAATTGATTTTGTCCTTTTATTTGCACATTATAATTTTAAGGATTATTGCTACACAGATAAGCTAGAAGTGCAAAAAACAAACAAACAAAAAAAAGCCCAACCAAATATAGAGCTCAAATGCACAACAAAGATAATGTGGTTTAACAATTTACCATGCCTCAGCTAAGCCAACATAAAAGCCAAGCAACTGGGAATACCCAACAATGACTCACTCGGCAGTCTACAAATTCATTACCATTCCTACCTGCTGCTTTGCTATTTGGAGTTTGCCTCTACTAATATTTATTCCTTCAAATGAGTTTTTCTTTGAATTATTTTAGCTTTGATGACTTCTGTGGCATAAACAATGTCACCTGTCAAATAATGAAACTCTAGAAAAAAGACTGGGGATGGAAAACAAGGACCATCACAGTCTACAAGCTACAGCAGGGCTTTCATGAATTTGGTACCCAGCTTTCATATTTTTCCTCAAGTAAAGGTCTCACTAGAGCTGGGGATCTGAAAGCAACACCTGAATATCCTGAGCACTGTGTGTACAGGTGTTTTATCTGTGTTACAACACTTACAAGACAAAGGCTCTAAAGGCTCTTAAGGCTCTTCTCCTTTTAAACAATATCAGTTCTTTCCAGAATGAAGGCTGGAATTAATATTCTACCATATTCACCTCTTTTATAATCATCCTTAATCTACGTATTTCCAATATCCAGCTAATTGCATCAGTGATGCTGCAACCTCTAGAAATAGTAAAAAGGTTATTTTTAATGTTGTTGGAATCCTTTACATGCTCTATTAACAACAGGCAAATGATAAGGGGGTTTTGTGACTGACACCTGGAAAAAGTTCACTTTGGTCTGAATGCAAACATTCCAAAAGGAAAACATGTCCCACTGACCTCCAGGCGTTTGATGATCTCCCGCAAAGACAGACTGTTCTCATTTCCTCCTATGAAGGTGGTTGTTGGCAGCTGAAAGACTTTGTCCAAATCTGATTCATGCAAACCATAAAACCCTACAACAGGTACGTTATTGATTTGCAAAGCAGAACAGGAGACAAAAAGGAAAGCAGCATTGTTTTTCCAGCCATGGCAGTTATATTTAATAAGGCAGTATTAAGAAAGAAGATACCAGATTAAAAATTGGAAGTGTGAATATTCTGAAGGTATCCATTAGTAAAATGGACTTTAGTCTGGATTTGAAAGAGTGTCTGAATTAAATAGTCATTACTTGATTATTTCTTAAATGCTCAAATGAAAGAACTGAAATTAGAATTATTCCAGCCTTTTTTATATTTTACCATATTAAGACACACATCATCGATTTTCCACACTACTTCTCACAGCTCACTGTTTAATAAAATAACTGACTATCATGAGCAACACACACAAAAAGAATCCCTTCTCACCAACAGAACCAGCTGATTGGGAGCATTTTACATTAATAGACCAAGAGAATGCACAACAGGTACAATAAAATGCTGTACAAGCACTCTGGAGAACTTTCAAGGTATTTCTATTTACTCTCTCTTTTTAGGGAAATTAGTTTGAAATAGCTGTGTAATGACCTGTACAGCTCTAGTTCCCAGGCAGTGACCCCTTATAAAATACACAGACTTCCTCACCCCCACCATCTAAAACTTGTTTAACCACATTGACCCATCTTGATTTGGACACATCTAAACTTGTTCTGGCTGAGAATGTTACTTAAGAAAATATTTAACCTAACTATTATGCAGTTTCAAAAGCTAAAACACTCAACAGACAAGACTGAAAGACTGGTATCAATGCAAGTTGAAGGCGTTGTATAATACAAGTTTAAATTAGACCTGTTAAATAAAGGAAAATAGTTCCTTATAACTGTAAGAAGCAAAGGGACAACACTTATAAGACACATCACCCACAGTTATAGAACCTTATATATACATTAAAACTACATATGTTCCTACACATGTAAAAATATCTGAAAAATTAAAAACACCTTATTCATTTTTAATTTTGAACACTTTATCTTGGTTCCAGATAAGCTGTAGACATCCACTTTAACACTGATAAAACAGCATGTACATAACTCTTAAATCAATAAAGTGCTTAAATGTTAAGTGACTTTTCTGAAGATAAAAGCAACACAGCAAATTAAGGATGAAATAATAACAGCATGTAAGAGTTGAAGACAGGCCATAGGACTGCACTGCTACCGCTTTTACTATACAGCACTGCCTGTAAATAACACAGTTTTTGCTTTAAAAATAAAAAATTATAAAATGGTAATTTTGGTTTTAATAAAAATTTTAATAATATATGCAATTTTCAAACCTGGAGTGGCCAAAAAAGCATAGGTACCATTACTTCTCCTTTTTGGTAACAAGTTTTTTCCCAGCAGGACAGGAGAGTGACACAGGGCCTTTAATGTTGTTTGAAACAAAGCAGTGCATTTATTTCTTTGCTTTTGCTGACTTTCCCTCAGACTTCAAAAGCTCTTGATGTCCTCTCATGCATAAAACAGAACACGTACAGGAGAGATTTGGGCACACAGAACATCTGTGCTTTGTACCACAGCACCACATATTTACTGAAGCATCCCCTCGTGTTTAAAGAGATATACCCTTACTGAAATCCTGAAAGCAATTCCATACTGTGACTCAAGCAGTAGCTACATCTGCATTTTCAGAAGCAACTCTCAGAAAAAATTTCCTACCATAAGGTTTCTCAAAAAAAAAAAAAAAAAAACACCCAGAAGATTGGACAAAGAAAAGGCACAGAAAAATCAAATATTAAAATACTTTCTGTCCTCCCAAAGACCTTTTAAAGATTTCCTGCCTGGAACATTCAAGGATAGGATTTGAGATCTTCCTCTATTTTAGCTGTGCCAAGACTAGGTTGGAAATTTTGCTTTCCCTCACAAACTGAAATCTCCTCAGTTACACTCTCAAATACATCCCCCCCTCTCATTCAGAGGTCTGGCATATCTTTCCTATGGGCATGAGGGCTTCAGTGGATGCCTTCTGATCAGTCACAACACCCTGTACTAAATTATCTGTAGAGTATAAAGAAATGTGTACTGACATGCTAGTAGTCACCCATGCTCCAAATTAATTATATTTGCTCAGTAAATGTCTCATGTGTTTTCTAGTAGGTACTTTTCTTTAATTAAAGCTGACAAACTTCAGAGAGAAGACCCAATTTTTCTAAGCACCCCTCTAGTCTTAGGCATCCACTTCCTTTATATGATCAGAACTGCTTCTTTCCCTACACCAGAAATAGAAAACAGAACAGCAAAGAGTAGATATGCTTATAGTAAAATTAGGCAGAGAGTGTTTTATTTACTTCCTGCACTATGTTTTATGTCTGATCGAAAAAGCTTCCCTACACATTAAAGAAAAATTGATTCTGTGTCTTCATTAAGTAGAAAACCACATTTTAAACTAACCAGGTAGATTGAAGAGCAGAGAAAAATCAATCAGGTGTTTTTTTATTCAAGTAGAGAGAGGCAAAGAAATTGATCAGTGACAATTTCTCAGACACAAGCCCTCCTAACAATGAGAACAACCTTTGCAAAAGCAGACCCTAGTGCACTACATAGATATAATCACCCTTGGATTATATCCACAGGTAAAGAATTCTATGCTTTCCACATTTTCTTCTGTTAACTTCAAAGAGACTTCAAGATATACATAAGGAATAAGTATCAGACATTAGATTCCAAATTTGGTATGAAATTTACCCTAAGTTCCTCTGTCCAGTGCTTTCTTTACTCCTTGGTTTCCCTAACGTCCACAGTTCAAGCAAGTATGAACTGTAATGCTATAAGAGTAATTAAGATTATCAGAATGTATTGATTAACATTCATTTCTGGTGTGGTTCAAAAATAAATATTTAGGGGCTTTATAGAGCATTTATAACAATCATTCAGCAGAAGATGAATTCACAGGAACCTCACCTGTGATCTCAGAGTAGAAACTCCTTCATCCTGAAATTTCAGCCTCCTTACAGATGCTCAAAGGCTCTATGTCATGGTATCAGCAAGCAGAAAAGGTAGAAGCATCCCTGAAATGTGGCATCCCTGTCCCTAGAGGGGATTTGGAACTAGGTGATCTTTAAGGTTTCTTGCAACCTAAGCCTTTCTATGAATCTGTGCAATGTTTTATTAAATCACCTCATCACCTCACAAATGAGCATTTCAATAAGAAAGCACGCAGCTTACGCACCAAGTTTATCGATTGTGGTGATAAGGTCGGATGGAATAAACGAATCCAAATCTGCATCCAGAATTCCAAGGGGATCCAGCTGAGCCACATGATGGCCACGGATCTGAAAAAGGAGGAAAGGAGAGCAAAATGAAATCACACGAAAAGTCAGACAAAGGGGAAAAGTTAGTGATATCTCTCCATAATATCAGCCATTAAGCTGAACATGCAAACACACTAATGTGGTGACAAGGTTACATATTCCCAAGTGTTCCCATAAGAACAAAAAATAAGCATTATATCACTGAATATATATACAGCTCTATCAAAAATTACACATTACAACATAATTTTCATTGTGTCTGACACACAATTTAACTGGGATTACATTGCAGTTTTAGTGAAGAAGGCTACTAGAGAGTACACTCTCAGTGTCTGGGTAAAATTAAGTAACTATGATGAGCCAGTTCAGTAATTTTTTAATTTTTGCCTGAATCCTTCTTTCTGCACCTACATTTTACTAAAATGCAGAATTTCTGACTTAAATCAGACTGGTGCTGAAGCAGTTTATATTGGAAGTGAAGGGATCACTCTTCCTGAACTCTGCTCCAAATCAGATAGCATCTGAAAGCATCTATTTTCCTTCATGAAATTTCAGAATTTGATCTGATAGAATTCATATTCAAGACACTGAAGAACATAAATTGAGTGAGGAATTTAGCCAGCTTTCAATGATCAGTGTGACTGGTCTTAATGCATGCCACAGGCTGCTATAAACTAGTGAATTATCATATAATACTGCTACAGAAGGAATAACTAATTGATTCCAGAGAGTCACAAATATAAAACAATTTTTAATATGCCTCTTATGTGTGACTCTCATATACCAAAATAACTCATTAAAATATTTGTATAGATGAATATATTAATAATTTCTCCTTATGATTTTTCTTTTTAACAACAAATTTGGGTAGAATTGGGTAGATTTATATTCACACTACTGGTATCCTAATTGTCCCCGAAAAAAACCCCTAAATTATAAAGTGCAACATTAACAGTGAAGTGCATCACACAGTAATAAAATATGATTACAGTGTAGTTCATCAAGAAGGGACCTGTAAAAACACTGTTCAATTATTGTAATTTACATGAGAGTTTATAACAAAATGGTTTCCAGTCATAAGAAACCAGAAATACCACATCTTTTTTGGAACTACCAGCCCTCTAAACTCAGCCTGACTTCTGTGATTCTTTGCATCTCATGAATCACCAGTAATGAAACTCTGACAGGCCAAATGATGCCCACAGTAACATCTGTGCCACCTGACTGTTTATAGCAGCACTAAGTTTATCTGACTGGAACAAAGCAAACAATTCTGTCTCAAACATCATCAACAGGAAAGAATTGACCTCCCCAAGTTACATCTGCTCTTCAGTATTAATAGGAAGAGGAAGAAGATCAGCAGGAATGCAAAAAGCCAGAAAAGCAGAGTAGTAAATGCTGTGCCATATTATTCCAGGGGCAGTCTGGTCTTTCACTAAAAGATAGTATTTCCCTCAATATCAAGGCATTTTTAATAAGTCCTACTACTTTCACTGAATACAGAAAATAGCAACATCTGCAAAAATCAGAGATCAACCTTGTGAAAATACATACATAGAAAATTTTCACTGATTGCCACATGACTAAATGCAAGTACAGACTACCAGAAACTAGACCTTGATTTCTCTGGCCTCGCTTTTGTTAAGCACACACATCCCACTGAAAATCCTTCTTTCAGTGTGCTCAGTGCTCTCTGTTAGAACAAACAATAGATTAACTGCCTTCTCAAAGTCCAGCTCAACAGACCACAAAGCAGTTTACCACAAAACCATAAAACACTGACAGGTTTGAGAAATGAAAATTCTGTATCCTTCTCCATTTCATTTCATTATCAGGCAAAGGAAGGTCACAAATTATCATACCCCTTCAGCACTGAATTCAGAGGGTACTAAATACCTTTTAAAAAGCAGACAGTTGCCTTAGGCAATCCTCTGTGACTGTTTGTTGCAGACACATGGGTGCCTGCCATTTCTACAGACATTTCTGTTTCATCACTTGACAAATACAGGGAGCAAAATGGCAATCCTTGAAGTATTTTCAAGTAAATTGTGTCAAAGCAGCCTAACATTCTCCAATTTTCTCTAATACTTCACCAAATTTTTACTGCAAAATTGGTTATTTTCTGCATATCTATTTCTAAGCAAATTTCACATATTCTTTATATTCACACCATTTCTACTCTTTTACAACAACCTTCCAACTCAATGGTGACAATGCAATGTGTACGAATAAAAACCTTTTAAGAAGTTGCTAGTTGCTCTTCCACTCCCCTCATGACACCAAACAGGATTTAAAATACTTAGGGCAGGGAGGAACAGATCTGCTCAAATCAAACTGTAGGAAACTTCTTGGGAAGTTACTAATTTAAAAATGCTTGTGGAATATTTTGTAGAACACAGATCTAATTTTATGGGTTGGTTATTTTGGGGAGGGGGGGGGGGTTTATATCATTTGTAAGCCTTTTATTGAAACTAGGATACTAAATACAAGTCTAAACAAAAATATTTAAACTTGTTTTTTGTTTGGAAAATATCTAACAAAACCCATTGTCCTATTTCCAAATTCCTTCTTCTTTTATAGGAAAAATAATTAAATTATACTTAATTTCTTAATTTACTGAAAGGGTTAAAAATCAGAGTGTAAAACAAAACCAATTTTGATGAACAGCTCTCTAAAAGAATCTAGCAAAGTTAACCCAAACACAGTACTGTCAGCCTCCCAAAATTCACTTTCTGGTTAATTCATCATTTCTCCTCTCTCTTTTTACCTATAATCCTGCTCAAATCGGGAGTCTCAAGATTCACCTTAGATGCGTGAGAAGGCAAATACATTCCATCCATTCCTAAAGAATGGCAGTAACGTTTAGATCTGCAGTACAAACATTCCCAGAGGTGAAGACAGACTTTCACAAACCACTGTCTCCATAAAGTCCTTCTGGGCCAATCAGATGACCAACATCAGGTCTGTGGGTAATCTGGATTATGAGTTTGCAAACCAGAGGATCACCCCAGTCTGAATCCCACACTTCCATGTTCAGACGCTGTGCTGGAAAGAAAAGCTGTCTCGTCCAAGGCCTTTTGGATCAGAAGCAAGACAGCAGTTAAGACCAGAATACAAATGAGAACATAAAAAGGAAGAAGGGTGTTTGCAGAGAAGAGGCCTTCCCACCCCTACCCCAAAATGCACTTACTTGGTACGCCCTTATCAACGACTGCACAGCGAGGTGGTCTTCAACGACCTTTTCAGCCGCTGCCGGTGTGGGGGCCAGGCCGTGGCTCCGCAGGAACGATCCCTTGCCTTCCTGCCGAGCCGGCAGATGGGCTGCCCGGCCAGCGGCAGCACTTCGGAAAAACACATCCCACGACTGGACGTGCGTACAGAGAAGAGAAGTATTTATAACTTAAAGTCTCATCCAAAGCTGCTCTTTCAAACTGCAAATGGAACCTCACTGCATTACACTGTTAACCACTACTCACAGACAGCAAAAAAAGAGCATTGATATGTCCCTGTCTCAGTACAACTGTGTGTTTCATTTACACAGAACGCTTTTCCTCTCATTTCTTACACCAAGCTTGCTCAGCAGAAAACTCTGCAGCACACAGGACTGTAAAGATCTCCATATATTATCCAATCACACAACTCTTTTTAATTGTGCTGTTTATTCAGGCGGCCAAGAATGGGTACAATATAATGCTGCTGGTAAAGAGCTATCCAGCCTATAAAAGAAAGAACTTCAATAAACTAAATCCATTCCTTTAATGACACAGAATTTATGGTACTTCAAGACACTCACTGATTATGCTAAATCAGAATCACTCCTTAACAGCTTTTCTTGAAGAAACTTTAAAAGCAATTAAAGCTTTTTTGAGTGAGGCTTGTTCTAAGATCCTTTCCTCACCAGCTTAGGTTACCTTACCATGAAATAAATTACGGTCCTGGTCTCAGGTACAAGTCATAATTTAGAAAAGTACTTATCTCAGAAACTGAATCACAACAAACAAGAGATCCTTTTATTTCCTTCAGTGCTTTTACACAAGCTGCTTCATTCACATATGCCCCAATCTTGTTTTCCTGAACTGTTTTCATTCTGATGAGGTGGTCACTGTGCCAGGTTAGCATGGTATCAGATATATGAATGTTAACAGAGCAGCAGAATGGGACAAATATGAGACATTTGTACTCAGCAAAGAAGGAAATCTGTGTAAAACACTTCTCTCAGCTGGCTAACTTCAGAAAACAAAAAGGAAGCTACTTAAAAACGTACATATCTTTGTGACTGGAAGAGAAGAACTGCAAGAAATAAATTTCTGCAAGGCTGCAAGCCTTGCAGATTTCCATTACATTTCAAAGAGCCAAATGCCAGGAAAAACAAAAGTAGTCCAAAGCATTTCTTTTTAAAAGATGACTTAATATATGCATTACAGAACCCACAAAAAAATCAAAATAATATAATACAAGCATGGCATGACACAAAAATATTTACAAAATCCTTTTTGCTTTCATTAACAAAACGTCTTCATACTGACATTTCTAAAAGCTCTAAGGTGTTCAGAAACACCAGGAGAGGGGCAGCATAAAGGAGCTAACATCACCCAATTGTCTAAATTCAAGTTATGGAAGTGAGGGGATTCATTGAACCTGTGGGTGGGAATCTCATCATTAGCATGAGGCCACTGCCCAAGAAACACTGTTTTCATGCACCCCTCTTACTTCTTTATTCATACAAAGCTGCATCAATACAAATACAGTAAACTTAAATGTATCACCCTGCTCTTACACAGGTTTGTCTAAACATAGCCTGACTTTTATATGCCCTGACAAATTAAGGCAGATCATGGGTGGTAGCCAGATCTAGACATACTGATGAAGAATTCATTCCTCCTCCCTTCTCTTATTTATGCCTGTTTCCTATATTCTTCTTACCTTGACATCTTGGCAGCCACGCTGAGATTAGAAGTCTGAACTTACATCCTGTAAGTGGTCTACAAGAGCCTATTAGTGGGATTCTCTCTATACACCTTCTTGGTCTGTGTTAAAAACAGTATTGTTATTCCATGCCTACACAGCACCCAGTCTGAGAGTCTGGAGACCCCGACAGTGAAAAACAATCATAATCCCTTCTTTAACTACTAAAGCTACTTAGACTGGAGAAATTATTTGGACAATACACAGTAACAAATTATTGTTAAACATTAAATTAGGAGATTCCTAACATGGATCCATGGCATCTCTCACATTCAAAGTTTTAATAAAGAATTTGCTTTGCTTACGTTAAGGTTTCTTCCTTACTTTATCTCACACAAAGATACATATACAATGATGATAATAACATAACTATTCCTTTTTTGAGTAAAACCTTTAATTTAAATGCAAAAGTTATCACAGCACAGTCACACAAACAACTGAATGTGTTGTTAGACAAGTGCTCTGCTGAGAGAGTTGTTAACGAACTCCAAAAAGACTTGCCCAACAAGTGATCTGTTTAAGGAGAGTCACTTACTTCATGCAAACTCACAAATATAAAGAAAATGTTTCCATCTGAAGATTCAGCCAGCTGAGACAGAATGGACCCAGACTATTTTTTCCTATCACATTTTTGAACTTATTGATTTGTTGGACAGGCTTGACATTTAATCAGAGGGGAGGGAAAATACATCATTTGGCTACAGAAAATTAGTTTTTACTAGATACACATCCATCAAAGCCTCTACAAATTTCTATAGTGTCTTTCAAGATTGATACCAGATTATAGTCTTCAAGTTCTGTGTATCAATGTCAGTCTTTGGCAACAGCATTTGCCATGTGACTGAACAGACACAAGACCAGCTTGGTCCCACTGCAAACCTGCAGCTTCTCAACTAAATTAGTAAAGTTGGTCAAGAAAATGGTAGAGGGGATTTATAATACAGAAATACATTCACAAAAAAAAATACTATAGTGATAGATGATACATTTTCTTTCCTTCCTCCTAGATTTGCCAGCAAATCTATATTGTAGTTAACCATAATTTTCTTAAGCAATATAACACAATTCAAGTGATTCAGTGGCAACATTTTACTGTCATATAATAAATAGTGTTGCAATGAGAATAACAAGTAACATATTCTTTATCTTGTTGGTTTGGGTTTTTTTCCTAGTTCCATCACAATATTCATCAACTGCAGTGAGGACAGTAAAGCCTTAGAAGACACACACTGAGCACCACTATATCATTTAAAAAAGAAAATGAATAAAATGAAGTCAAAGTAAAACAAAGCCCCACATCTTTTCCTAGTCCATAAACCAAGGGGGTGATTACACACTCAGGGCAGAGCAGCTGCACACAGGATAACATGGCAGGCATTATGTACACCATAGCAAACCATGCAGTTTTGTAATTAATCTTGTGATAGTAATAACTGAGCCTTGTCAAGCTTCTCTCTTATGATCTATGGCCCTGACACCAAGCTTCAAGGAGAAATAATGATGCCTTTTTCAGAACACACGTCATTTTATTCTGATTGTGATTCTGGCTACTCTGACAATAGGAAATTCAAAAGGCAAGAAAAAGCAGGAAATAATCTGAAGTGGATTTGTACAAAGAATAAAAACTCTTTATATATGCATATTCCTTGATACACAACCAGGATACACATAGAAAGGAGAAATTCTTAGAAACACTGCACATGCTCATTGGAATGTGACCACCATACTTCAAACAACTTAAATAAGCATACATGGGAGGACATGCCCAGTCAAATCTTCAGAGAGGGAAATCAGTTCAGGAGCCCTGATTAATTGGAGTTTCTAAGTACAAGTGAACAGAGTAGGACTTTTAATGCCCAGAAAAAATCAAGCTCCTCCATCTAATCGATGAGGAGGCACATCCCCTCTGAAACAGGGTTCTCTAAGAAGAAACAAGAGGAAAAATATGGTATAAAAAGGAAAATGAGGAAAGAGAATGCAATGTCTAAACAGACAAACTGGTTCTCTAAATCATGCTGCACATACCAAATAAAACAACAAAAATGAGTGGCTTGCAGAGAGCCAAATCATTAACAAAACCATAATCAACAGCATGTGGTGTCTCTTGACACTATTTTCCAACACTTTCTCTCCTTTCCATACCAAAACGCCAAAAGCACAACTTCACAGTCAAAATCACAGCATGAATTTTTCTGCATTTTCAAGAAAACAGGGTGATTTCAGCCCTAAATGTTTTAACTTGTTTTATGAAAGTTCAAGTTGAACAATTTCTGTCAACAAAAATCTTGGGAAGATATTTGCAGCTTTCAGCCAATTAAATGAGATGGTTTTCAAGAAACTAAAAATTAATTTTGTTGATGAAACAAAGTAAAATTAATTGGCATTATTCTCCTTCTCCCCTTTTCTCACAGGCTGTGAAAAAAGTAATAATTTAGGCAAGAATAGCTGTAATCCATTATTTCCATCCATCATATTCTTTCAAGCCTCATAAATCAGGGACACAGTGAATTTACTTCAGTTTGTTACTGTTGCAAGTTTATTAAACACAGTTAACCTAGGAAAGAATTCACACAGTTTTATAATCGTGCTGGTTTGGGCTGGGGTAGTTAATTCACAGTAACTGGTTTGGATTTCAAAAGGGGGCTGGCAATACAGAGACACTTTTGTTATTGCTGAGCAGAGCTTACACAGTGTCAGGGCCTTTCTTCTCCTCATCCCACCAGTGAGGAGGTTGGGGGTGCACAGGGAGTTGGGAGGGACACAGCCAGGACAGCTGACCTCAAATGACCAAAGGGATATTCTAAACCACATCATGCTCAGCATGGGGAAAGAAGAAGGAAGGGGGGACATTTGGAGTGGTGGTGTTTGTCTTCCTAAGTCACCATTACATGTGCTGGAGCCCTGCTGTCCTGGGGATGGCTGAACACCTGCCTGCCCACCCATGGGAACTGATGAACGAATTCCTTGTTTTGATCTGCTTTGCTTGTGCATGCAACTTTTGCTTTCCCTAAACTGTCTTTATCTCCATCCACAAGTTGTCTCACTTCCACCCTGCTGATTCTTTCCCCCATTCATGCATGTGTGCAAGAGAGAAAGCACAAGCGGCTGTGTGGTTGCCAGGTGGGGTTAAACCTCGACAAAATGCATCTTGAATCACCTGGGATCCACTCCCTAGGCCACACCCTGCATTCCTCAGTCAACTCATTTATTGCTTGCTGTTCAACCCACAAGCTGCATCACCTCAACAGGATCCATATCAGACTGCGCCTGAACTGCCAGATGAGTCGGCTGGCCTTTCGGCAGGATTTTTAGCACGTCTGCCTGCCCCGAGCACCAGTCCGTAGAGCGCAGGCGTGCCCGTCCCGGCCGCCCTGGTTCAGCACCCCGGCCAGCTCCGGGCGGAGAGCTCCAGCGCCGCCGCCCCGCTCCCGGCCGCGGCGGGCTCGGCGCTGCCCGGCTCGCTCCGCGGGGAACTTCCCAGCCACAGAGACCACGGCGGGGCTTCCCAGCAGCAAACCCACTGCAAAGAGGCTGAACCAGGAATTTCGTGCATGTAAAAGGAAAGAAGTTAGCCAGAAGCCAATATAATATAAATACAATACAAAATGTCACCTTGATGTCACCACATGCTCCTTTTGCATGAATTCGTCCCTTCAGTATCCCCAGTATAAAAGGGCTGATATTGATCTACAGCCTTGACACACCACGAGGGCTTTGCAGAAATTCAGGGCACCCACACAATGTGCTATCGCAACCCACACAGGTGGAGCTCAGCTGGCAGCTACAGGACAAGGGCTCAAATCAGATGAGAAAAGCCATTCCTGGAGAAGGTTTCTCCATCCCAAATTCAGGTGTAAGATAAAAGACCTAGGATCAATCTGCTATGTGAATAACAGATAGTCTTCAGAGCTGGCACTGCATATGTCATCTTTCAACAAGACTAAGTTCATACACAACATCCAAAGAAAGAAAGAGTTACAAAAACACCCTTTCTGGTTTCCTTCCTAGTTTCTGCCCTTGGCATGCCTCACTTCCTCATGCTCTGGACAGATTATCAGACTTAGAACAACAACTTCTAAGTGACATTTTGATATACATGCCTCAGGAATAAGGGAACAGACAACCAATTTGGTAAACATTTTGGGCACAATTCACATTACTTCCTGGAAAATGACTTGTCTGTCTTAGAATTGATCAGACTTCTCATCAACTTCTTAAGTTACTATACATGTATCACCGTAACAGAGCCCTCTTTGTCAGCAGAAAGCTTGTTAAAAATAAGCCTATGTATTTTGTCTACAATAAAGGATTTGGGTAATAGAGTTTTTAGAAAAGAAAAAAAATGTCTATTGCCTGGAGAGAGAAGGAGAGACACAAAACAAAATACTTTCCAAGATACTTCAGAAGAATATTCTGACAATTTCAGATTGAATTTTAAGGTTACAACTTCCATTAATCCAAAGACAACTGAACATTTGTCTTCTTCAGACAGCTTAGAAGTACCAACATCAACACATTATTTAAATATATTCTCTGATACAGCCTTACTATAAACCAAAAATTAAATGTATTTTATAATTGGGTCTTCTTCTGGATGTAATTAATTACTTAACTGACTGCTTGACCAGCATTCCCATGGAGGAATAAAGTTTCAGAGCAGCTGTCTATTTCTGGTCTGTATTTATCCTTCTTTCTGCTCTGCTCACCATGCCTGTGCCTCCTCTGTACTTGCATAGTTGCAATATCACATCTTACACCAATCAATAGGTGGGAAATTAATTTCATGGTTTTCATTTCACACAACACCTTTTCCTGGATTTTTTATTAAAAAGCAAGTGAAAAGGTAAAAGAAACCTATTCCACTCTTAATCCAGTATTACAGTCAAATTTAGACTTACCTTATGTACACTTTTAGGGTTTTCAAGCCATGCACAGTACATTTCCTCCACGTAATTGGAATTACTCCCACTCAGGAATGGCTCTGAGGTTCCTGATGAAACATACCGTTGGCCATGTAATAATGCCCTTCTGGCTACATCCTGATTTTCCAGAAGTTTAAAGCCATGCCTCTTCAGTGTAGCTGCAAACAACTTCAGATGACTCATGTTTGTTTATTAGCCAGACGATCCAAGTCTATTAATAAAATAAAACCAAACTTAATCAGAAAAAGAGCCAATGAATTGTAGACACATTTCAGCCTCACAACAAAAACTGACGTTTCTGGCTACAGTGCCCTGGTACAAAGCTCAGGCCTAGGCATGGAGAGTCCCTTCAGAGTGAGGGCCACAGCAGTGGAGTGGCTGCAGCTGGCCATCCCCACACCAGCCAGCTCCTCTCACAGCTCCTGCAGCTGGTAATGCCACCCTGCTCCCTGAAGCAATCACCATTTGTGCCTCCGGCCCCAGCTCCCTGGAACAAATGGGCTGCTAATCACTGACCTCTCCGGAGCTCCTGGCAACCCCAACTGCTTTCCCTCTGTTTGGAAAGCTGAGGCCTCTTACCCAGCCAGGCTGGGCTGGGGTCAGCAAACAGTCTCAGCCACAGGTGCTGTGGAAAACAAAAAGCCGCTGCCTCAAATTTCTGCCACGAGTAATGGAGCTGACCAAATAATTAGAAGTGTTAGTTAAGTGTTCATATTGACATTAGCCTTCAACCAAACAGTGAAACACTGAGAAAAGGCTCACTTTAATTTGTTTTCCTAACTGGCAACACTTATCTTGTGCTTCCAATGATCTCTTATGAGCTTGGTAACAAGGACAGCAGATTCCATGCAATTTTGCATTGAGATATTCTATTTTCCAATTCAATTTCCCACAATAAGGGCTGAATCTACTAAATGCTGAACACCATCAGCTCCAATGCTAGCAAAGGGAATCAGGGCTCACCTTCAAAATAAAGAAGAAGAAATTCATCTTAAAGTTAGTCCCTAAATAATATAATCTTAATGCTGAAATTGCTAAAACTGCAAAGAAAGAGCAATTATGTGAAAAGAAATTATTAGTTTTGTTTTCATTTTTTAAGTATTTAGAAAGCTACAATATCATGAAGGATAAGTTATTAATTTAGAAAAAGTAAAATTCAGATTTAATTCCAAAGTGGCTCTCATTTGTTTAGCTGTCCATCTGGAGAAAAAATTTATTTGGTCCAAGGTAAAACCCAAGGTCTTTTGTTGCTTGGCGTGACTGAACAACTACTGTAGCCATGATATTTTATGAAAAATCCTTTGCTAGGGTTTTTTCTCCTGAGGAGCCTCAGGAAAGAAATGTAAACAATAACTATCTGCTGCTGTGGAATGCAACAGGTGCAGCTGTGATTGGTGCATCTTGGTTGTTTCTAATTAATGGCCAATCACAGTCAGTGGCTTAGACTCTCTGGGAGTCAGGAGTCTTTGTTATTGCATTCCATTCTTGTTCTTTCTCTCTATTCTTTTAGTATAGTTTTAGTATATCATTTTAATATAATATATATCATGATAAATCAGCCTTCTGAAACATGCTGTCAAGATTCACATCTCTTCACTCGTCCCCGTCTCCTCACACAAAGCATCGACCAGAAACTGCTAAAAACAAAAGTAATGACCTGCCAAATTAACTTCAAAGTTTTTTTTTAGAAACAACACTTATTTTGAGTAATGAAAAATTTTTAATGTTGCCTATTACATGTTAAGATTTCTTCATCTCTAATTCAAAAATAGACACTGTAAAAAACTTCATAAACATTTCTGTATATAAATCCCATTAAACTATTTTCTCACTGTTTCTCCTCTTACAGCACAGCCTCCTTTCAAAAAACAAAATACATGGTTATAAAATGCCTAATTTTGCAAGGGATAGGAATAGCTATGTTTTTCATCATCCAATTTGAAAGTTAATATTAATCCTAAAAAAAAAAAAAAATAAAAAGAAAGAAAAAGGGCTCCTAATAAATAAAACAGTATTACTGCTTGTTCTTCTCTGACATCACATTTTAACTGCACATCTATTTTAAAAGCTGATGACTAGACCCTTTCCTCAGTCACCACCTATCACCCCAGCAGTGAACTGTCCTTGATCATACCAGATTCCCTTGTCTTCAAGACTTCTGCAGCCTTTTCACTCTCACCCACCAGCAGACCTGAGTTGTAGCTCCTCAGAGCAGCAGCCATCATCCACTTACTGAAGCACTTGTCCACTCTCCATGTGCCCAGACATGTGGAAAGTGTTCTTCCAAGGCAGCAGCACTGAAACTAGCACCCAGTCCTCATTTAAACCTATGAGCTCCCCAAAACCACACACTCTTCTCTCTCCACCTGGCATTTGCAGCAAATTGGCAACAGCTGGGCTACTGGCTTGCTTCTCTCCTACCTGCTTACATCCCCTTGTCATTTGCCACTTTTTATTTTGTTTACTACAACACTTGTATAAACACCCATCTCTGACCAGGGCTCCCGGGCAACTGGAGGAACAGGAACACCATCAGGACCATTTTGGAAGCAGATTAAATCCTGCAAGAGCACTGACAGAACTCATAAACTGTCTGCATACATAACTCTCTGTAAGATTTAACAGCAAGCATTCATGATGTCATTTTGCAAAATTGGATGAGACTTCAGCTTGTTATAGCAGTAAGAACAGAGAGCTCACCATGGCACACACAACTTTATGTCTGTGCCCATTCTCACACAAACTATTATTATTATTGCACCTACCTTACTGCATGTAAATCTCACCCTCTGCCACAAAACCTTTGCACACACACACTCACTCCTAAGGGATTACCCACCCTTACTTAAAGTAAAGACTTGGGAGAGAAGGGAAAGAGAGGAACAGTTTTCCCAGTTTATCATACTGCAGCAGCAAGCTTCTTAAGCACAGGTACTTTTACATTTTTTCTTCATCATATGTCTGCCTGAAGAATGTGTAATTCTTTCTTCTAGAAGTTAGTAAAGAACACCTAACAGAATAAGAAAAATTTGCCAGGAAGATTGGGAAATGGGTGCAAATGACATAATATATAACAGAAAAAAAGAGCTTGTAAGTGGTACCAGTCACTTCCCTCCAGTTCCATTTAAATTTCAAAACGGGGTCAGAGCCATACTTCAAGCAGTAACTACTGAATATGCAATCTATAAAAGCATACAGGAGCTAAGTCATTCCAGCCAGATTTCAGTTACAGATTAATATGACTCAAAAGCCCTGACTTCCTAGTTTTTCCTTCTGCACACATCGCTCTTCAGAGCAGATGTCAGCTGTCAGCAGCTAAACAAACCAGAGACCACCAGCGTGATCGCAGCCCATCCCAGCCCACTGAGCCTTGAGACTGTCAGTCAGAAACCAGCACCCGGGACAGCGCACAGGAGCGCCAGGAGTTAGACCTGTTCCCCTCCACTATGCTTCCCAAACCAACCCTGAAATGAAAACAGGGATTGGAAAGGGATCAAGCCGAGCTAAGAGCAACCTAAAGAATGACATTAATTAACTCTCTACCAGAGGTCAAAAATAAGAAAGAAGCAGTGAACCTGAACCTGAACAACCTGATATTTAATGCACCACGGCACCCTCAAAATGGTGGAACAAAAGCCCCGAGTTGCTGAAAATTCCTGCAGCTGTTCTGCCTCAAACAACGACCTAGCTTTCACCTTGGCACTTCCACCTCTAGAAGTGCCCTAATGTCACAGACAGTCTTGGGAATTATTCTGCCCAGGTTTCTAGAGGGTCATAGAAGCATGTAGAAAACAGACAGCAGACACTTCTGATAATAAAGTTTTTATCCAGCTCTTTTCAAAATCACTTTCAGTATAATTGCACTGCACGTATGAATTAATATCCTCCTGGTATTGTCAGCGCCCTTACTGAGTTTCTTAATCCATGTGAAGCCCTGCTGAGAATGTTCTTTATGCTCTGCAGAAGTGGTGGTTTAAAAATCTGGTCCATATTTCATAAAAATAGTTCTTCATCCACTATCACGGTAATTTCCCATAATATTCCCCACACAGCTTACTCTTAAAGTTCTCCTTAAGACTGAGTAATTAAAATAAAACAAAGCTGACATTGGGGGAAAAAAAATGGATGAACATGATAAAGTTTCTCCAAAATATCATCACAGATAATTTAAATTACAGATATCCTTATTAAATAAGGCTACTTCAGGGATACCTCCGTGCACTACATGTTTTTTCCCCCAGCACAGATATGCCGTGCTGTACAGAGAATCCTAACTCCACACAGAGAGTTGACCCGCAGGTTTTCCAGCGGCGCCGTATTCGCCCCAAGGCGCCCGGCGCGAGTCCCGGGCAATGGAGGCGCCTCGGTGCAATGAAACTTAACGGATTTATTACCCTGCCCTGGAAAACGCCTTCAGCGGGTACCGGAGGGATAACACCCCCCAGTACCACAGGGATGACAGCACCACAGACTCCAGGCCGCCAACAGAGGAGGGGGGAGGATCTGGGAGGGTCGGGCTTGTTCTCCGGCCCCTCCCCGTAACGCCAGGACGCGGTGTCCTGGTCACCCTGGCCACCGGGGGCCGGAGCCTGCTGGGCTCTCAAGGCGCTCCCGGCTGCGACGGGGCTGGGACACCACCGGAGCTCGGGGCAGGACGGGCCGCCCCGCTCGCCCCACGCTCCGGGGCCCGGCCCGGCCTGCGGCGCGACCCCCTCAGCCGCACGGCGAGAGGCCCCGCCGCGCCGGGGGCCTGCGCGGGGGACGGGCCCTGCACCGCGGCCGGGCCCGGCCTGGCCCCGCCGCCCCCCGCCCCTCACCGGCGCGGACAGACCTGCGGGGGCGCGGAGGCTCCAGCGCATCCGCGGAGCGCGGCAGGGAGGGCGCGGAGGGAAGGGAGGGAGCGGCGGGGCGGGGGCCGCACCTGCATCACGTGAGGCGCGCGCTGAGGTCACGGCGGGGCGGGGCCGCGGGCGCTGCACCGGCACCAGCGCCCCGGGACACAGCCCGGGATGCGGGACATATCCAGGGACACGCCCCCGCCCCACG